AGGACATGATGTCAATGTGGGAAAAGGTACAGGAGGGACAGGAAGAGGGCCCAGTGGTGCCCCAGGGGAGCAGGGGCAGTAGGGTGGCCACCCTCACCTCCTGGAGCTCATTCACTCGCTCTTGCAGCTGTGTCCGCACTGTGTACTCCTCTTCCCACCTGACAGACATGGGGAAGGGGGAGAGAACACAGCCTAGAGTCCTCCTGCCGCTCCAGCTCCTGGCCCTCCCTCTCAGGCCCAGGCCTCAGACCCCAGGTCTGGCTCCCTGAATGGGAATTTGTCGAGACAAGAATGTATGCGGCAGCCAGCCAGTGGGCAGCTGCAGCTGTTGGGTGGCTCCGTACTTCCTGGCAAGGGCTGAGATCACCAACTGCCTGCCCAGAACCTCCAGACCATGGACCAGGAACTATATTTAAGAACAACTGCCACCACTTTGGCCCTCTGCAGTACCCATCCCCACGTGGGCCCAGTTCCTCCAGCTGTCTGGCTGGACTCATCCCCCACCTCCTGCCCACACCAGTCCACCAGGTCCCCCCCGCAACCCAGTCTCCCACCTTCAGTGGTACAGATCCGGTCTCCCGCTCCTGCCCGCACAGAACAGAGCTTGTAAGCCCGCTGCCCTGCCTCCTGGGTACCATTTAAACCTGCGAAAGCATCTGCAGGACACAGGCTGGATCAAGAGCTGCTCAGCAGCCTCCTTGTGGGGGGCAAAGTCCTTCCCCACCCAGCCCCTTAAAGTGAGCTACTAGAAGGTCACAGGGCTGGCGTGATCCCCCCTACCCCCCAGCAGCGTGAAAGAAGTGGCCATCAGAAGCTAGGGACTGCTAAGTAGTCACACCCAAGGGCCAGGGAACCAACCAGAGTGTAGGAAGGCCCCTCTAAACAGCACAGCATCTCAACACAGAGTTCAAACCAGAGATCGCCAGGAGCTTGGAAGGCACACCTGCCATGGGGCAGAGCCTACGGGGCAGTACCCAGGGCTAAGTGCGCACTCCATCCTGTCACAGAAACGGAAGGTGGGGCTGCTGTTTGGCCCTGTAGGTTCAGAACCCGAGGCTAGCTGAACCAGCGGCCGGACTCAAAGCCTTGGTGCATGAGCTCATCACTTCTGACTGTACTCTGCATGGAATTCTTCTGGCCTCAGAAAGGAGGGCAAGGGAGCTGAAGGAGAAGGCTCAAAATGAGCTCAGTGGGAAGGAGGCGGCAGAGGACAGCCTCTGCAGTCAGGAGGGCGAAGCTCCTTGTGGCCCTTCCCTCCTCTCCTGCCCCTCACCCTCTCGGCTTCCACGTCTCTGCTCACCCATGTTCTGAACTCACAGCCGCACTGCAGTGTTCCTAATAATAACTCCCCAGATGCCCCTCCCAGTTGGCTGAGGGAAGAGGCGGCCAGCCTAGCCGCCACCCTGCAGCTGACCATGCAGCTCAGCTCTTGGCCTCCCTCACCCTCTATCCCCTTCCCTGTCCCCACCCCACCCCCCATATCTGCTTCTCCTTTTGTCCTAGCAAAGACAACTCTGCTGGCCTCAAGCTATATACTTTCTTAGATGAGACCTTCGTCTCTGCTGGGTCCTGGTTTCTTCATCTACAATGCGCAAGTGTGGGAAGTGGCCTCCTGTGTGCTAGACCCTGTGAGTCTCTGGAGAAAGACCACAGGATGACAAGAGGTCAAAACCCTGGCCAAGATGAATGAGAAAGGGGCAGAAATCCTACTTCATAATAAACTCAATACATCCAAGTGAAATATGAGAAAGTTAAGGCAAGATGATGATTAATGAGCTAGATCATACAGGATAAAAAGTCTGAAAATGACTCATCTGGATGCTCATGAGGACTCTATTTGCTCTCCACCCAGACACACAAATGGGTGCAGTATGACCTCCAGCCAACTCTCGCCTTTTTTTTTTTTTTTTGCAAGGTTCCCATAACTTGGGTAGAATTTGGGCAATTTCTGTACATCCTGCATTTACCAGGAGCCCCTCCTGCAAATAAACCCTATCTCTGAGTTGAAGAGAAAAAGCAGGGGTCATTCTTACGTTGGAAAAACTGAACGCCAAGAAAAAGGTCATACAGGATAAGGAGCTGGAAATAGGACTTGGGGGGTGGGGCTTTGCTCCCGCCCAGTTTCATACTCAAGCACCCCATGTCCAGGCTGAAGATGGGGAGCTCAGTGTTGCTATGAGCCCAGAAGGCAGGCAGGGGCTCTGGGGTGGTAGGGTGTCACGTACCTTCCACGTCTAGTCACTGCACAGTAATGCGCTGCAGAGTGATGAGGTAATCAATCCCCAAGGAATAACTCTTTGCTGCCCTGGACAGCTGTACCAAGGACAAATGCTCTCTGTTTTAAAAGGTGCCCTGGAGAAGAGCAGCTGTTCCTAGGATTATGGCAGAAGTCTAGAACTGTCAGTGTTCCATCCTGTGTTAAGCCCTGTGGGGGCAGAGGCAGGTGCAGCCTAGTTCTGGGTGGTACCTAGATGCTGGGACAACTGAAAGCCCAAAGACAGTTATAACATGGGCCACAGTCATGGAAGCCAGCGTGAGGACTGAACTTCAGAAAGCCTGCTGATGCACGTAATCGGGTGGATGCTAACAGGTTACCAAGCCCTGAAGGTCATTCCAGACCCAGCACTGTGTTCCGAGGGCCTCCAGATGGTCCCCACACACAGCTAAGCAGATAGCAATCCCTGCCACCCTGGCCTGCACAGGCAGTCCAGGCTAGCCCCAGAAGAGTCACATTAGCTAAGAAACCCAAGCCTGGGCCCCCCTGACTGCCATCCCTTTCCTCCTCAACCACAGCCTGGTCCGTTTTCAAAGAACTCACTCTGCTGTGATCCCATCCTATCTATCGCCTGGTTACCAGCCACCCAGTGACTCCTCCTGGTGAACAGTGGGCACTCCAACGTGACATCCCTTCCTCCTAACTTTTGTGCCAACCTGTTGGGGGCGGGGTTCCTCTCAGAAAGCCAAACCTTCATCCTCGGAACACACTGGGCTGGCCCCGAGATACTCCATTACTGTAGGGGGTGCCCATGCCCCCACCTTATTCTTCTTCCATCCCCCTGCTGGCTCCCCGGTCATGATTCGGGGCCTCCCTACCAGCCCTGACAACCACCTTCTCCCTGTCCTACGGTATCTCTACTTTCTTTCTCTTTCCTGTTTGCCTGTTCCAAGCAATGCCTTTAGGTTCTGGAGCCTCGAGCCTCACATGCAACCAAACAGAGCCCTGGGCAGACACAGCCCCTTCTCACTACCTCCTTCCAGTCCCACTTAATTTACCTCCAAAACTAAAGCTACATCCTTCCCCCCAAGTGTGGAGTTTATATCCTGAAACTGCCCCAAGGTCCGAGACCGGCCAGAGAACAAGACCACAGATGCGGTGCTCTCTGGGATGCGTCTCCCTTTCACACCACACAACGCCCCACAGTCAGCAGAGTCATGCAAACCCTGCAGCCTGCATAAGACGGGGAGCCATGCCAGATGAAAAGTATGAATTCCCAGTGTTCTTCTAGAGTGCTTCTAGTCACGAGTCTGACTTGAGAATTGTCTGTGGATTCTGGGGCCCCTGCAGCCAATTCCTTCCAAGCTCCTCACTATCACAGCAGGAACTTTATTCTTGTTGCCATGGTTCTTGGGCCCCCAGTTCTCCGGTCTGGGAACCCGCCACTAACTCCCTGCCCCACCGAGTCACGTTTCTTGAACCCTGTCCCTGCTTTCCAGGTCCCTACCTCCGCTTGTACTCGTCCCGCTCCCGCTTCACTTTGGCCAGCACGTTGTACAGGGCGCGGATCTCGGGGGTGATGGTGTCGATCTGAACGCCCACCCCGTCAGGGTGTACCCACGACAGGCCAGGCCCCTGCACAAGCGTGGGCTCCAGTCCCGGTCCAAGCCGGCGGGCGTGTGAGAAGGACCAGATGGTGCCGGGCATGAAGCGGGTCGACGAGGAGAAGGAGGTGGAGGTGGAGGTGGAGGAGGAGGAGTGGCAGGCCGCAGAGGATGCGAGGGGTCCGGCTGGCGAGCGGGCGGGGGAGCCCAGCACCCGCGCTGACGGGGGACACACAGCGGCGGGCCGGGAGCTCAGGGGCAGCCCCAGGGGCCGGATCGGGCTGATGAAGCCGGTCTGTACCGCCTGGTCGCGGCGGGCCAGGCCCCGCCTGCCCTGCTTACCCTCCTCCAGAGCCTGCTGCAGCTGCTTCTCCAGCAGCCGGTTCCGGCGCTCTAGCTCGTGCACCTTGGCTAGGAAGCAGCGAAACCGGAGGTTCAGGGTCTTGAGTACATTGATGTTGGAGCCCAGGTCGTTGCGGAGAGCCATGGCTGCAGGGGGCGCAGGACCAGGCCCGGGAGGCGAATAGGCAGCGGGGCCCGCCGAGGCAAGCGGAGCCGGGGGCAGGTCCCCTCCCCCGGCAAAGTGGTCACCTCCCAGAGGGTCCCCCAGCGGCCCGGCCAAGCCCTGCTGCTCCTGCTGTAGGAGGAAGAGATTGGGACCGAATAACGGATTCATGGCTGCGCCTTCTGCTGGGAGATGGAGACCAGTGCAGCAGAGGGTGAGGACAAGAGCCAATGAGGCGCCTGCGGGATACGAGCAACCAATCAGAGAGCCCGGGAGGAGGGCAGAGGTCGTGAGGGCGGGACGAGAGGGAGCCAATGAAAGGCCCCCATTAGAGGCTTAGCCCTGGACCTTTCCGGGTCTGGAGTCAACACACAAGGAAGCTGACTAGCCCTTCTTCCCTAGGGAGCTAGCCACTGCCTAAGATTCCAGGATCTCTGGTACCTAAGCGGCACCAGTGGTGGAAGACTCTTCCCGAAATCCCTACTGTCTGTCTTCTTCTCCCCAGTACCCTAAACCTGATTCTACGGCTTTTTCCCTGGGAGACCAAGAAACGGAAGGAGCCTATCATTGACCTATCATTTAAGACATGCCCAGCTGTTTCTGTCTCAAGAAGATCCCAGGCCCACCTTCCTAGAAGCCGCCAATACCCAGCCCCCTAAAAAAAGACAGCAGTGACTAGGATGGAAAGAGGTATATTAAATTTCATATTTATGCAGAGTGGGGAGGCCATGATTGCAGAAGGATGTAGGAGTTCCAACCCGGAGACAATGTGAGTGAGCCAGCAGTCTAGTTTCCAAGTCCATTAAGAGAACAGTGGCTGGCCACTGCCCTTTGTCACAGATTTCCTCCTCTTTGCTGGTGGGGGCCTCGTGGAACTGTGGGGAGACCCCGTGGGGACTGAGGGCCCCTTGGCAGCACCATCCTCTTTTAGGGAGGCAGCTCTCTTGGCAGGCTGCTCTGCTAACTGCGGCTTTCCTTTTTCAATCTTTTTGGTTTTCCCAAGGGACTGACCACAGTCCTTAAGCCGTGGGGCAGGGCAACTCTCAGAGCCTGAAGGCACTGCAGGTGTTTCCGGGTCCACGCCGCTGGGAGGGACTTTCTGCTTTGGGAGGGCGGCCTCCTTGGAGTCCTTTGACTTAGGTCCCCTTCGCTTTAGCTTCCCAGCCACCTTTGGTTCCCTGGTCACTCCAGCTCTTCCATCAGGCCGAGCGCTCTCCTGGGGCCTGGCAGACACTTGGGCCTTTGGGACAGAAGGGACAGTGGGTTCTGAGCCTGGCCCTCTGGAGAGGCCATTCATCTTCTGGAAGGGCTTTCTGGAGTGCTGCGGTCTCCCTGGCTGCTGCTGTACCTTTGCAGCTCCCCCAGCTCTCTTGGCCGGCTGACTACTGTCCTCAGACATGGGGGTGACCTCACCCTTCAACTCAGGCTCTGTCGGAGTAGCTGCTGCTGCATTTCCTGAGGTAAAAATTAAAGAGAAGGTTTGATCATTAAGAAACAAGGAGGTTGTTGGGGGGGGGGGTGCACGCCTTTAATCCCAGCACCTGGGAGGCAGAGGCAGGTAGATCTCTAAGTTTGAGGCCAGCCTGGTCTACAGAGTGAGTTCCAGGACAGCCAGAGTACAGAGAAACCTGTTTTGAAAAAAAAAACAAACAAACAAAAGAGAAAGAAAGCAAGCAAGCAAGAAAGCAAGCAAGAAAGCAAGCAAGCAAGAAAGAAAGAAAGAAAGAAAGAAAGAAAGAAAGAAAGAAAGAAAGAAAGAAAGAAAGAAAGAAAGAAAGAAGGGTTTATTTGGGCACCTCTAGACCAAGAGTTTCACACATTAAGACCCTGTTTTAGGTACCTAATGCAGGACCCTGTGTTAAGGGATCACTGCCTAGTCTCAGCCAAAAGGTTTTCCTAGGAAGCTGCGCCCCCTTGAGGGCAGTATGTAACAAGAAACTCTGAGGATGAGGTAAGTCCCAGTCTCCAAAACAAACCTAAGGTTTGTTTGTTTTTGAAATCCCAGTAGACAGTTCTCCCCATCATGCATTTTCATGCAGTGCAGAAACTAAGACGCAAACTCAACCAGAAACCTGCTAGTAAGTATCAATGAGAACAGTATCAAAACTTGCTATTTTTTAGGTTTCTCTGAGACTAGGTCTCGATATGTAGCCTTGGTTGGTCTTGAACTCACTACAAAGAGACCAGGCTGGCCTCAAACCCAGAGATCTGCCTGCCACTGCCTCCCAAGTACTGGGATTAAGGGCGTGCGCCACCATTGCCCGGCTGCCTTTGCCTCTTAAGATGTGCTGTTTCTGAAGGTTTTGGCTCTATGTTAACTTTTGTAAGGAACCTTGTTTAAAGAGGGACAAAAGGCTACGGTGCAGCTCAGAGACAGAGCACCGACCCGGCATGCACTGGGTCTGCAGCTACCAGAAATCACACACTGTATTCAGATGCTCTTTTTGGCCATCTTCCAACCAACACAAAGCTCAGTCCTGTTCCAGAACTCCCCACCTCCCCTGAGATACAGGCCAGCATCAAGATGGCTGAGAAAACAAACTGCAATTAGGGGCAGGCTCGGAGAACTGCTCAGGGTTCTGCAGAGCCTACCAATCCAGTGCAGAGATGCTGGGCCAGAGCTGTACACAAGAACCCTGAGCCAAGAATCTCGAGAAACCACCACCCGCAATGGGAGCGCACTGAGGCTACACCAACAAAAGACCCCGTCCATCTTAACCTGCTCAAACAGGCAGGACTCGGGACTCAAGGACAACACGGCCCGGATGACAGGGTCTCATCCAAGCACACAGTGGCCGGGTTAAAAAAAAAAAAAACAACAGTCCCCCTCCCCCTCGTCACCTGCAGCCTCTAGAAAAGTGGAAAGCAGGTGGGGAGATGGGTTAGTGGGTAAAGTGCTTGGTACGCAAGCACAGGGACCGAGTTTGGATCACTGCACCCAAGTGAAAAAAAACAAGCTAGGAGTCAGAATTGCAGACGGATCCCAGGTGATCACGTTCCAGACAGCAGTTTAGCTTAAAAAAAAAAAAGAGTGGAGTGAGGTGTGTGCGTCAGGGGGTGGGGGGATGGCTACGAAGAGCTACTCTTAGGAGCTTCTGGCAGCTGATTGCTGTTGAGGGTGGAGTCAGGCTTAAGGGATGAGGCCGAGAGGCTCCTCAGGCTCCTCAGGCTCCAGGAGACGGCCCCACACCCATCCACACGGTCAACCCCACATGGACTTGGGGAGGCAAAGCGGGGGCAGGGGAGGACTTAAGAGACCTGATCTGAAACACATTATAGAAATGAACAAATATTTTTTAAAATATTCTTTTTAAAAGTAGGGGTGGGGGCTGGAGAGATGGCTCAGAGGTTAAGAGCACTGGCTGCTCTTCCAGAGGTCCTGAGTTCAATTCCCAGCAACCACATGGTGGCTCACAACCATCTGTAATGAGATCTGAAGCCCTTTTCTGGTGTGAAGGCATGCATGCAGGCAGAACAGTGTATACATAATAAATAAATAAATCTTAAAAAAAAAAGTAGGGGTCGGCCCAGCAGGTAAAGGCACCTGCTGCCAAGCCTGAGTTTGATCAGGACCCACATGGTGGAAAACAGAGAACTCCCAAAAGTTATTCTCCGACCTTCATAGGTGTACTGTGGCATGCACATGCCCACACACATATACACACAAAAAATAAATAAAATGTAATTAAGTAAGGTGGAGAACAGAGGCCAATGCCTCGAAGTTGAGCTCCAGCTTCCCCACACGCACGTGAGCACACCTCCACCACACATGCACATCACACTGCATACACCACTTACCTTACATTTAAAAAAAAGAAAAAAAGACAGGAAGAGGAAAGGTGGGGAGAGCAAACTACCTGTGTGGGGCTGGGGGATAGAGTTGGAAAACTTCTTGAACTTGGCGATAAAGAAACCGTCCATGTTGTGAGTGTGAGGGTAGAAGCGTCTCGTGGACCGCAGAGTGGGGTGAAAGCGCCTTTCTCGAAAGCGGGTAAAACCTTCCTGGCCAAAGTCTAGGCCCGTGGGCACCAGCCGCACGTTCCTCTTCTTCAGGGCATAGTCTACCACCCATTCGTTCTCTTCCACCTGCAAAGACAAAGCAGGAGGGATGGAGCAGCCTGAGAGCGCACAATGACCCAGCCTCCGCGGCTCTGCCCCTGCTGCGACCTCACCATGATGGAACAGGTACAGTAGACCAGGTAGCCCCCAGTCTTGGAGGCAGCGTTGACCGAGTCAATAGCACTGAGCAGCAGTTCCTTCTGAAGGTGGGCACAGCGCAGGACATCCTTCTCATCCTGTCCAAGAGAACCAGGAGTGGAGACTTCAGAAACCAGCCTGAGGAAGGCAGCTGCTGCCTACAGGGTGTTCTGACTTCAACACTCCAGCCCCCCAAGATCAGCCAAGCCAACCCCAGCCCAGGCCCTTACCTTGTTAGTCTTCACAGCAGGGTCCTTGGAGATGACCCCTGTGCCACTGCAAGGAGCATCCAGTAGCACTCGGTCAAAGCCCCCCACCACCTTGGGGAACTGGCGCCCATCGTAGTGGCTGATAATGGTGTTGGTGACTCCCAACCGATGCAGGTTGCCCACCACACTCTTGAGCCGCTCAGCATTGGCATCATTGGCAAGGATCACTCCTGTGTTCTTCATCAGCTGAGCTGTGGGAAAGGACAGAGCTCGGCAGCAGCGCCTCGGGCAAAAACACGCTACCTTCCCTCCAGCCCAGAGCCCACAGGCTAGCTCCTCCGCCTATCCAGCCTGCACCAGCCGTCCAGTGCACACCGGGACGTCCCCACCCACAGGTCCCCACCCACAGGTCCCCACCCACAGGTTCCCACTTCTGCTGACCAGCTTTCCAGCCCTACACACAAAGTTACTTTTCTTTTCTGAGACAGGATCTCATCTAGCCATGGCCAGCCACGAATCTGGAGTACTGGGATTACAGGCTTACACTATCACAGCCAGCTCAAAGTGCCAAGGGCTTCGAGAGGCATTATGTGACCTTCTGAAGCCAAGCACGGTAACAGCCAACCTAAGCACAATTAACTACCCAAGTCAGCCAAGGTCAGATAGAGGGTTAAATAACAGAGCTGAACCCAGAGCCTAGATCCCAGAAACTGCTCCTCCCTTTCTGCTAGATGCAAGCACACCAAGCTGGACCAGCTTGAAGGGCTCACCAACACTGTATTCTCTCTAAAGCGCGGCCTGGTGACACCCACCCAGCCTGCCCTTTTCTTACCTATGTAGCTAGTCTTCCCGCCAGGAGCACAGCACATGTCTAAGATCCGCTCATGCTCCTGAGGTGCCAGGGCCATGACAGGTAACATGCTTGAGGCTCCCTGAAGCATATAATGCCCAGCCAGATACTCAGGAGTAGCGCCTGTGAAAGGGGACCGCTGTGTGAGATGCTGGCACAGGGACGGAACAGAAGGGCTACTGGCTGGGGACACTTACCAATAGGCACAGAAGAATCATACACCACAAGTCCAGACTTTGACCACTTTCCCAAGGGGTCCAGATTAACTCCACGATTGATGAGAGCCTGAAAAAGGGATGAAGATGTCCAAACCAAGTATTCTACCCAGAAAAGAGGCAGGCATGAGAAGCTGGTCCATGCAGGTCCATGCAGTGCAACTCAACACACCCACTCAAGACAGCCGGCAGATCCTCCCTTCCTACCGTCCACCTGCCCCTTTGCCTCCAGTTCCAGGACGGATGGAACCCAAAGCCTTGTAAAGGTTGAACAAAGGTCAACCACTGAGCTACTCTAGCCCTTGTCCTTCAAGTCCCTTGTTTTGAGACAGGGTATTGCTATGTAGCCTGAGCTATCTTGCCTCAACCTCACAAGTGCTGGGATTATTGGTGTAAACTACCAGAACTAGCCACACACCCCCAACTGGAGATTGCTATGGAATAATCAATCCTTTTGCACACTGTGGAGATTTGCCACTGTGATTGGTTTCATAAAGAAGCCGACTGGCCAACAGCTGAACAGGATAAACTTAGGCGGGAAAGCCAAACTGAGAATGCTGGGAAGAAGGGTGGAGTCTGAGGAGTCTCAAGTAGAAACGGAGAAGCAAGATGGACATGCTGTACTGAAAAAGGTACCAAACCACATGGCAAAGCATAGATAAGAAATATGGGGGGGCTGGAGAGATGGCTCAGAGGTTAAGAGCACTGGCTGCTCTTCCAGAGGTCCTGAGTTCAATTCCCAGCACCCACGTGGTGACTCACAACCACCTGTAATGAGATCTGGTGCCCTCTTCTGGCCTGCAGTCACACATGCTGTATACATAATAAATAAATAGATAATAAATAAAAAGAAATATGGGTTAAAGAGTTAGCTAGTAACAAGCCTGAGCTATTAGCCAAGCATTTATAATTAATATTAAGCCTCTGTGTGTTTATTTGAGAGCTGCTGGCAGGACAGAAACTTCTGCCTACAGGGGATTGTGGCTAGGGCTTGTGCAAGCTAAAGCTAGTGCTCTAGCCCTGAGGCACACTCCCAGCCTCTTTGACCCACTCCCCATTTTTCAACCCCAGGTTTCTAATTCAGTCAAGTACATTCCATATACACAGACTACCACCTCCTGTTAAATAACATAAAAACTACAGCCGGGCGGTGGTGGCGCACGCCTTTAATCCCAGCACTTGGGAGGCAGAGCCAGGCGGATCTCTGTGAGTTTGAGGCCAGCCTGGGCTACCAAGTGAGTTCCAGGAAAAGGCACAAAGCTACACAGAGAAACTCTGTCTCAAAAAACTACAATATACAAAACTGGAGAGATGCCTCAACCATCTCCATTGAAAAGGATCTGGATTCAATCCCAGCACCCACATGGTGGCTCACAACAATTCATAACTCCCAGGCATTCACATGGTGAAATTAATAAATAATATACAGGCTAGGCTGCAGTGACACACGCCTTTAATCCCAGCACTCAGGAGGCAGAGCCAGAATTCAACTCTGTTTAGTTCGAAGCCAGCCTGGTCTACAGAGCAAGATCCAGGACAGGCACCAAAACTACATGGAGAAACATTGTCTCAAAAAATCAAAAAATAAAAATAAATAAAGTACATAAATCTTTAAAACAAAAAAAGAACAGTATACAATATAGCGCTGATTTTGGAAGCAAAGTCTTTAACCTCGGGTACGGTTAAAATTATCTATGGATGTGTTTTACTGGGGGCAAGAATCAGTTTCTGAGCTTCTTGGTGACCTTCCTCCAATTCCTTAGAAAGCAGCAGTTCATCCAGTCGCAGAGAACAGAGGCTGCAAAGACAAGGTCCTACTCTACAGTGACCTAGGCCTTCAGTCTATCAGACAGACAACAGGCCTCCCACAGCTTGCCTGCTGGGACCATGCTTATAACAAGACATACTTAGGTCTGAAGAACCCACCCAGTCAGGACTGGGCAGGGTGATCCCCAGATGAGCAAAAGTTGGTCCAGTGCTGAATTAAATGACACCGACTCCTCACCTGAGCAAGGTCTCTGCGACGGGTTTTCAAGGTGTTGGTCCGAAGGGTGATTGGCCGGGGCACCTCATTAGCTTCTAAGAACTCAATCAACTGCAGTGGAGACAGAGCATGGAGACTGAGGCAAGAGAACCATGGAGCTGGGGGCGGGGCTAGATGTCTTCACACCCCTCAACAGCAAGAAAAGCAGAAGCAATGGACTGGCAGGAGGGTACCTCAGACAGAGGGAAGAGCTCCATGAGCTTGCCCAGCAGGAAGTCTCCATAGGAATAGTAAGTGGCCAGATCCTTCTGAAGCCGATTCAGATACTCAGAACGAGACCGTCCTTCTTCCCTCTGAGCCCCAAAATTCCGAAGTACCCCCACTATATCCTGGATCCGCTTGTGAACGCGCTGCAGGTCTGGAGCCTGGGCATGTGGGCCCATTGAGGAAATGTTACCTCAAGTCATCACCCTGAGAAAGCCACCCACACACCTTCCTCCCACCCTCTCTGCACTCCAAGGATATCCTGCTCCATCTCTCCAGCAGGGGGCAGCACGAAGGCTTCCTCATCTTCCACATTGATCTGCAAATCCTCTACTTTGTCATCCTTTTGGTGACTGGACTCAGCCAGGGCATCATCATCTTCCTCTTCATCAGTCTCGTCTTCACTCCACTGGCCCCTAGAAACAAGGCCAGGAACAGAGGTTCAAGCCAAAACAGACACCCCCTCCTCAAATCTTCCTCCCCAAAGCTGCTGCTAAACTCACCCAGCTGCAGCTTCCCGGGCCTTCCGCTTCAGAGCAGCTCTTTCAATGGGTAACAGCTGCAGAGAGAAGGGCTGGTGACAAGGCTGCCTTGTCATCCCCTCACACGTCCTTCCCATTCATCCAACACTCAGAAGGAAACAGAGAAGCTAAAGACGAGGAAGATTTGACACAGAAACTAGCTTACACAGGGATTTCCTCTTCCGTTTTCAAGACAGGGTTTCTGTGTATCAGCCCTGGCTGTCCTGGAACTCACTTTGGAGATCAGGCTGGCCTCAAATTCACAGAAATCTGCCTGCCTCTGCCTCCCAGGAGCTGGGATTAAAGGCATGCACCACTAAGGCCCAGCATTCCTCCTTAGTTTTTAATTTTTAGGGGTTTTTATTATTTTTTTTTCTTGGTTTTTCGAGACAGGGTTTCTCTGTGTTGTTTTGGTGCCTGTCCTGGATCTCACTCTATAGACCAGGCTGGCCTTGAACTCAGTGATCTGCCTGGTTCTGCCTCCAGAGTGCTGGGATTAAAGGCATGCGCCACCACCACCTGGCAATTTTAGGGTTTTTTTTAACTTGTAAATGTTTTGCATGAGTATGATGGGTGTTTTGCCTGAAGGTCTGTGCAGGAAGAAGCCCTTGGAGACCAGGAGAGTTGAATTCCCTGGATCTGGAATGACAGACAGCTGTGAGCCACCATTTGGATGCAGGGAAACAAATCCAGGTCCTCTGCAAGAATAGCCAGGGCACTTAACTCGAGACACCTCTCCAGGTCCTTTACTTTTTAAATTTTATGTTTTGCCTGCAAGTATTTCTGTGTACATTACATGCATGCAGTGTCCATGGAGACCAGAAGAGGAGGACATTAGAACACAGAGAACTGGAGTTACAGATGGTTTTGAGCAGCCTCATGGGCATTGGAGTCAAACCTGGATCATCTGTAAGAGCAGATGTGTGCTCTTAACCACTGAGCGCTCTCCAGCTCCAGGTGTGTGTTTGTTTGTTTTTGTTTGAGATAGTCTTACCCTGTTGTCCAGGCTGGCCTCAAACTCACAGCAATCCTCCTGCTTCAGTCTCCTAAGTGTGGGGATTACCATGCTTAGCTCCTTATTTCTTTTCTTTGTTTGTTTTTTGTTGGGTTTTTTTTTTTTTTTTCAAGACAGGGTTTCTCTGTGTAGCTTTGGAGTCTGTCCTGGATCTCGCTCTGTAGACCAGGCTTCGAACTCACAGAGATCCGCCTGGCCAGATCTGCCTCCCGAGTGCTGAGATTAAAAGTGCCACCGTTGTCCAGCCCTTATTTCTTTTGACAAGGTCATGCACACTTACACCCTAGCATTCAGGAGGCCAGGTCAGAGCATAGAGAGTTTGGAACCAGCCTGAGATACACAACAAAAAAGGAAATACCTCATGCATAAAGAGAACACATGTTCTTGGGCCTTGCTTTGACATATTTTCTTCTTGAATTACTCTGCATATTACTCTATTATCTTGTATACAATGTAAATCACGTTTCACTTCCAAGTGTTTCTTTCCTTTCTTTCTTTCTTGTTTTTGGGGACAGGATTTCTGTGTGTAGTGCAGCTCTTGCTGTCCTGGAACTAGCTCTGTAGTTGTAGTTGTAGACCAAGTTGGCCTTGAACTCAAAAGATCTGCCTGCCTCTGCCTCTTGAGTACAGGGATTAAAGGCGTGTGCCACCATGCCTGGATAAGATTTTATCTTTTTCTCCTGTAGTTTTGATGCCTGTCCTGGGTCTTGCTCTGTAGACCAGGCTGGCTTTGAACTGACAGAGATTCACCTGGCTCTGCCTCCCAAGTGCTGGGATTAAAGACATGTGCCACCACCGCCTGGCCTAAGATTTTATCTTACTTTTAACTACATGTGTATGTGAGCATCTATGTGTGTACATGTGCACACGGTGCAGATGCCCAGAGGCCATCATAGGGCCTTTGATCCCCTGGACTTAAGATTACAGGCTCAAAAAAAAAAAGAGTTGCAGGCTCCAAAGCTACACAACAAAAACAAACAAAAGAAAGTTACAGGCAGCTGTGATCAGTCCAACAAGTGCTGAGAACTAAACCTAGGTCCTCTGCAAGTATTCTTAGCCACATCTCTCCACCAAGCTACAGTTAGAGGCCAGACATGAAAGAGGCAAGCCTAGTCTACATAGTGAGACCCTGTCTCAAGTAAGTATTTTCACAGACACGACAGCCAATGTTAATTCACCATGTGTCTGAGCTGTGGCCCATTTACATGCTGGAAGTTTCCTGGGTTTGGCCTTTACACTTTCTGCAGAGGGCAGTGCTGTACACTATACAAGTTTAGATGACTGCCTCTTCTGAAATACGCACACTCACCTCCTAGTCCTACGATCACTGGCACTCCAGTAAATAAACCGTTACCCACATTATATACCATCTCCCTAACAATAAGCTAGATAAAAAGAAAATCTTTTTTCTTTGGCAGAGTCTTACTATACTGTCCAGGCTGCTCTTGAACCCCTGGGCATCTGGCCTGTGCCACCTGGACAGAAACTTTTCAGTGCTCGGTTCAACTATCAAGGCCTCACCTATCAGGTGAGTGCTCTACTACTTCAGCCCTGCAACAACTGCTTTATTAAAAAACGAGCATTCAGGGCTGGAGAGATGGCTCAATGGTTAAGAACATGGACTGCTCTTCCAGAGGACCCGGGTTCAATTCCCAGCACCCACATGGCAGCTCACAACTGCCTGTAACTCCTGTTCCAGGGGATCCGACACCCTCACACAGACATGCATGTGGGCAAAACATCAATGTACATAAAATACAAATAAACAAATTATTTAAAAAAAAAAACAAAAAAAAAAAACGAGCATTCAGACGGGCGGTGGTGGCGCACGCCTTTAATCCCAGCACTCAGGAGGCAGAGCCAGGCGGATCTCTGTGAGTTCAACGCCAGCCTGGGCTACAGAGTGAGTTCCAGGAAAGGCGCAAAGCTACACAGAGAAACCCTGTCTCGGGAAAAAAAACAAAACAAAAAAAAACCAAAAAAACGAGCATTCGAAGGCCAGGCAGTGGTGGTGCATCTCTGTGAGTTTGAGGCCAGCCTGGTCTACAGAGCAAGTTCCAGGACAGCCAGGACCACACAGAGAAACCCTGTGAGAAGCTAGCAGTGCTAGTTTCAAACTTGTGAGTGCTGACAGAAAGCACAGAGAACCGGAGCCTTTATTCCACTCTACGAGAGCCTGGACGAACTGGAAAGAAGCTAAAAAGCAAGCTAAACGTGGTGGCACACGCCTGAGATGCCAGCACGTGAGAGGCCAAGGCAGGAGGACTACACATTCTGAGCCAGCCTGGGAACTGAAAGGCTAAGAGTCAAAGTCAGGCACAGTGACATATATCTGTAATCCCAGCACTGAGGGGGCCAGTATAGGATAGCTGTAAATCTGAGGCCAGCTTGGGCTCTGCAGTAAGTTCAGGCTAACCAGGGCTACACAGCAGAACCTTGTCTCTAAACAACCATCAAACTGTGTGTGGTGGCACACAACTTTAATCCCAGCACTCAGGAAGCAGAGGCAGGCAGATCCGAGTTAAGGAGCTAGCCTTGCCCTACACAGTAAGACCCTGTCTCAAGCTAACAAAAAGATCTACCCGAGAATACACAGAAGTGAATCTCACCTTTCCCTCCTCATCCTCCAGCTCAGAGTCAGCTCCATAGTCATCCACCATATCAGCATCACTGTCCTCAGAGCCCCAGAGGTCCCCCTGGTTTGCCACACCATCTTCCTCAGAGTCTTCCTCCTCATCCCCGTCACTGTTAGGAGTTGGTGCTGGGCGCTTCTTACCTCGAGCCTGGACTGCTCCTGAAAACAGTAAGGGTTTGACCAATCCTGAACAAATGGCCATCACATTCCCTGTCCCACACCTCTGGAACCTGTACTGAGAAATGACTTCACAGTTAAAAGCACATACTCACCTTGCAGTGGACCCGAGTTCAGTTCCCAGAACCCACACCTGACAATTCACAACTACCTATATCTCCATCTCCAGGTAGATTCAGCATACACCCATACTCTCACCCATACATACACATAATTAACAAATAAAAAAATAGGGCTGGAGAGATGACTCAGTGGTTAAGAGCAGCTGTTACTCTTACAAAGGACCCCAGGTTTGGTTCCCAGCACTCTCATGGTGATTCACAACTATCTGTAACCCTAGTTACACCTTCTTCTGATGTCCATGGCACCAGGCACACATGTGATACACATCCATACACGCAATACACGCAGGCGAAACACTCGGGCACATAGAATAAATTGAGACAAAGTTTTTAAAAATTAAGTAAGATAAAAAAATAATCTTAACAAGCTGGGCGGCGGCGGTGCACATCTTTAGTCCCAGCACTTGGGAGGCAGAGACAGGCGGATCTCTGTGAGTTCAAGGCCAGCCTGGTCTACAAAGTGAGTTCCAGGACAGCCAGGGCTACACAGAGAAACCCTGTCTCAAAAAAACCTTAACTGGGCATGGCAACACACACCTTTAATTCCAGCACTCGGGAGGCAGAGGCAGAGTGAGTTCCAGGCCAGTCTGGTCTATCTAGTGAGTCCAAGAACAGCCAAGGCTATACATTGAGATCCTGTCTCAAACAAAAATAGATCTTAAAAAAAAAAAAAGGCCTTTTGTTTTTCCTTTCATTCTAGAAATACTTAGCCCTATCCAGGACCCAGAAGATTCCTCACACAGCAACCAACTCCTATTTTCACTCACCTTTTGACAGCTCTCCAGGCAATGTTTTAATCCCAGGAGACTTATTTGGCTTAGGGACGTCAACAGACCTGGACCTCCTCTTGGCTGCCCTGAAAAAGATACAGAAAGTGAAAACATGGGAACATGCTTCTAGGTCATGCCACCTCCCACCACGAGGAAACATGACAATGTACAACTAACCCTCTTCATCCATGTATCAAGCAGCTCCAATTTTTGCTAAACCCAGGCATCCACACTCACCTCTTCCGAGCACGACTGGACAGCCTCTTGAAATTCTCATCACCAGCTGTTTTAAAAGGGAGCAGAGTAGGAGTTGATTGGAGACACACAAAATAGGAGCAGGAATGTAATTAGGAAGAGAGTTCCTACACTAAAGTGTGACAGACAGAATTAGTGATGTGGCTCAACGGTAGTGTGTGTGCTTGGCATGTGCATGCCCCTGGGTTCACCCACGGCATCAGGAAAGAAAGACAAGGTTACAAAGTACAGTCAAGGTGTGTCACTTCATAACACTTTCCTAGGAGTTAAGGCGAGATGCGAAGGGTGGGATGATGGTACAGCCTGAGCCAAGAGCTGGAAAAGCCCTGGGTTCCATTCCCATCACCTCCAGTAAAGGAAAAAAAAGTGAGAGAAGATGTAGAGGCGACGAAGCAGCCATCCATCTGACTGCTCAGCAACCAGGTCCAAATAGGGGCACTTTGGTAACAGCAGAACCTCAGAACCTTTTCTGCCCTTTCCTTTATTCTCAGCTTATTCAGTTATCCACTACAGTAGAGTTTAACTTTGAAACTGTTATTTTTTTATACTCTACAGGAAACCACAGCCCTTTCCACTTAATAACTGTGTGCAAGACACCGGACTCCTCAGCATCCGTTCCTGAACAAAGCTTCTCTCCAGGAACTCTAAAATTCGAAGAAGCGATGCCATGTGTCCATAGGGCTGAGGATCTCTTTCATGGGCCTGGGACTGGCCACTACTTCAGTAAACCGTGCCTTCCATTCACAACCGACCAACTCCGTGCACAGTCTTTTGTCCCCAGCAGTGGTTCACCACACAGGACTCAGACCCATGCTTTCATCCCTTCTTGCAGACAATCCATGACTGGCCTGTCCCGTTCCCAACTCTTGCTTGCTAAAACCAGGCTCGACAAAACCTTTCTAAGTTCTTCATGAGAGCTCCCTTTCTGGAAACGGAGAACGACACCTCTCCTCGCTCACCCGGGTACCCGTGCATCTACCCTACCTTCCAACACGGATGACTTATGTCCTAGCAACTCACATCTACGCAGCAGGTGAAGGCGGACGCGCAAACGGGAAGAGGTTATGACACAAAATGGACCAAAGGCTGGGCGGGGTCTGGGAGCGACGACCCTCACCTGCAGGCAAGAATCTGACCAGTTCGGTCTCTGCACCCTTCTGTTTTCGGGCCTTTCGGCCGGGCCCACGCTTCTCTTTCTTCGTAGGGTCCAACTTACGCCCCATGGTACTAAAGCAAAGAAAAACGGGAGAAGGCGGCGTTACGGTGCTGAAAAGGGAACGCAGGCCGTAGACTTGGCGACATTACCTGCGAAGGGGTACCACCCGGCCCAGAACCTGTGCTCGCGACCCCTGATGGGGCTCTCTAGGCACTCCCACCAGACCCAGACCCAGGTCGAAACCCTGTTCCGGGAGCCTGCAGACGCACCTGAAGCCTCCGCTTGGCTAGACCCGGGTCCTCTAGATGTAGAGCCTCCAGCCAAGGCCCGCTCCACGTGCACTCAGGGACGAGCTCCCAGGCAGCACACCGACAAAGTGTATCGCGCACGCGCAGGGCGCCCCGCCTCTTCCGGCCGCCGCACCGGAACCGACCCAGTCCAGGAACAGGCGCGTCTCCGGCTGTTCAGGGAGGGAAACGTGCCCCGGCGGGCTCCTGCTTACTCCGCCCTGCCGCCGAGCGCCGGCTTCTCTCCGCGGGTTCCAGCTTAGGACTCCCGAGGCCGCTGTGCTCCTACCTAGACCCGCAGCACGGCCTTCGCCCTGGCAATCTGCGAATTGCCTTAGATCTCAGGATCGCGAGGTTCCACGTCTCCGCCCTCCTGTTCCCCAAGTTTTAAATAGAGCCGCTTTCCTTACGGAAAGTCAGTCTTCCTCTCCTGGCCGACCCTCTTCACATCGCATCGTCAGAAATACGTGCTCGGCCCTCCTTCAGTGCTGTACTAGAGTTGAGAACTTCCCAGGCTTGGGCATGGCTCAGTGAATGAATGTGCTTGCTGTCAAGCCTGACAACCAGAGTTGGTTACGGGATACACCCGTACTGTGAGCGTCGGGACCCAACTCCTGCAGGTCGCCCTTTGACCTCCACGTGTACAGTAGTCCTCCCCTCAAATATATGTTATACAAAATGTAAACTATAAGCTGCTGTGGCGTTGTGCACTCCTTTAATCCCAGCTCTCTGGAAACAGAGTTTGGGGGCAGCCTGGAGTTCAAGGACCCAGGACTACACAAAGAAACCCGGTCTTGAAAAAACAAAAAGAGTAGGAAAACTGAATAACTTAAAAGGGCATGGTAGGACACATCCTTAATTCCCACACTCAAGAGGCAGAGGCAGGCGGTACTTAGTTCGATGCTAGCCCGTCTCAAAAATAAAAATTATATATGCAGACGTGTGTACATGTATATATAATGTTCCCGTGTAGCATGCTTGCCTACAACTACCAAGCAGGTAATTATTTCATTCAGGACACTGGGAATAACTTGCTCCAGGTCAGAGCCTATAAAGGGATGGTGCAGTAGTCTCCTCCTCCACAACAGGCAGCACCTGGCACCCACACTCACCCACACAGAACCAAATCACTAAAATACAAGGAAACTTTTATTTTCAATTCTCATCAAGAAATTTGTTGTGGTTTTTTATGCTTTTGGTTCTTTTCCTTTTTTTTTTTTTTCCAACTTTATTTAAGCCGCTCAGTGGCTGGAGCCGCTGGGTTCCTGGTATGAAAAAGATGCCAACAGAGGTAGCTGTGTCTCGCCCAGGGGCCCGGCCCACTCTGAATACCCCCCAAAAGGAGAAAACACAAAGTAAACCAACAAAATAAAACCAAAAGAGGAAGAAATTCAGATCATTTTCTTCAAGCCTGGCAGAACCCACAACAGTCTGTACCAGGCGCTCGCTCTGTGGGGAGAAGCCAGGGTCCAGAAGGCAGCCAGCCCGCAGCTCCTTGCACATGGCGCCCTGCTACTGCTGCTAGCCTCTCCAGCAGGAAGGGCACCGGTGCCTGCACTCCCTCCCTGCCCCTAGTGCATAGGGCTGCTCCTTTACAACTCAGACATGGGCAGAAGGAAGGCCAGATCTCTCCAGCCCCCAGGGGGCAGCCGGGACAAGAGAAAGTGAGGAAGGTCACTGCTCTGTGGTGGAGGTGATAGAACCACTGGGTCTTCACTGCTGCTGGGCTACCTAGAGGGAAAAACAGCCAAGAGTCAGAACAGGAGCCCAGGTACCCGATGCCACGGGAGGCAGCCAGTAGGAAACCCAAGGACACAAGCGAGCACAAACTGCAGTGGCTTTGTGGGAAGAGCTACAACTACAACAGTGGTCCTACCTGCTGTGGGGGAGGTTCTGGTGCCCTGTTTGCCAGGCGGCTGAGAATGTTCCGCTCTGACATCTGTAACCTCACAGCAACTGGGGGGATGCGGGCAATAGTAGCTGGGAGTCGAGTCACATCAGCTTTCATGTCACTCAACAGTTCCTCCAGCTGTTTCAGGACTGCAGGGGAAAAAAAAAAAAATGTCGTGAGCTGTGGTAGTCAAGGGCACAGTGCCAACCTAGAGGACCAGCTGCCCCACCAGCATATACCAGGATATGCTGTTGCCTCTTGACACTCACTTAACCTGGCCTGGCCCAGACTCCGGATTCCTCACATTCTAGTCCCAATTGGCTTTTGTTTCACATGTTGCCCAGGCTAGGCCTGGAACTTCTGAGCTCAGGTGACATTCCTGCCTTGTCTCCCACCACAGTTGGCTGACTCTGATTTTAGAGCCACCAAACCCTTTAGCTCATCATCCCTTCTACTGTCTCCATTTTTTTTTTTTTTTTTTTTTTTTGGTTTTTCGAGACAGGGTTTCTCTGTGTAGCTTTGCGCCTTTCCTGGAACTCACTTGGTAGCCCAGGCTGGCCTCAAACTCACAGAGATCTGCCTGGCTCTGCCTCTTGAGTGCTGGGATTAAAGGCGTGCGCCACCACCACCCGGCCTGTCTCCATTTTTTTTTTAAAGGTTGGCCTCAAACTCACTGTAGCCAAACATGACCATGATTTCCTGATCCTCCTGCCTCCACCTCCCTGGGCTGAGATCACAGGCAAGTGCCAACACAGGGCTTTATTATTATTTCTTGCAGTTTTTATTCTCAGCATCAGGGGTCAAACCAAGGGGCTGTGCTCCTCCACTTGACAAACTGAATCCTATGATCTCCTCTTCTGCACGCATGCCTTTCTACTTCCTGGATGTCTCCCACTACCTTTACGACACCCACCTTTTCCTCATTTCACCCTCCACGCCCTCATAATGTTTTAATTAGAAATACAATGTTGAAAGGGGTCTAGAATTTGAAGAGATCTAAAATCTCCTGAAGTCACCTCTAAAATATTCCCAATGACACTATTATTCTCAAGAACTTGAATATACTAAGAGTTCAAAGAGAAAACTGCTGTCCTTGTAAAGATCCTCAGCAGGAAGTCAGGGATATCAGGGAGGGAGAGTGGAGAGGGGCTGAAGGAGCAGGAGGCAGGGGAGCCACTGACGACCTTTGTGTAAGACTGCATTGGCTGGCTTATTTCCTGCCATTGACTCCTTGGACAGGTGCTGGTGACTTTCTGCCAAACACTCCACCTCAGCAAAACGAGTGTTAAGGGCCATAGACGGGTGAGAGGGGTCTTCTGACATGTTCAGGTAAGCGGCCCTTCGAAGCTGCTCCTCGATCACCAGGGCTTGTTCTAAGAGCTGCAGAAGAGAAAGAGGAGAAAGGGTGGACTAATGGCCGCTTTCTCACTGACGGGGCTCTCAGCTCACCTCTTCTTCCGATGAACAAGAACCTGGAAAGAACTTCTACCCCTCCCCCATGTGGTTCACAGTACACCAACTCCTTCCCATTTGGAGGTCCACACTTTCACAATTCCTTACTCTTTAGATCCTCAGAGAAATCCTAAAAACTAAACTTAGAAAAGTAAAATAAATAAGACCACAGGTAATTTCCCCTGCTAGAGATAATGTTAACATTTTGATCATTTCTTCCAAAATTTTTCTGTGTATACATCATTTACATAATTGAGGCACATTATAGTCAAGACCATGTACATCTAAGTTATATGCCAGGCACTTCCTTTGCTCTTCAAAACTATTGGGGTGACAAGTTTCATTTTGAAATTTTTTGTTGTTCTTTGACAATGGTGGCGCACATGCTTTTAATCCCAGCACTTTCTGAGGAAGAGGCAGGTGAGTTCTGTGAGTTCAGGGTCTCTGTGAGTTCGGGGCCAGCCTGGTCTACAAAGAAGTTTCAGGACAAGTCAGAGCTACAAGAGGAGACCGTCCTAAAATGCCCCCCTCCCCCATCCCATATGGATCTCTGTGAGTTAGACTGGTCTGAAGAGCTAGTTCCAAGACAGTCAGGATTACAAAGAGGAACCCTATCTCAAAAAACCAAAATGTTTGTACTTTGACAGGGTTTCAGGTAGACCAGGCTAGCCTTAAACTCACTGTATAACCTAGGATGCCTTTGAACGCCTGACCCTACCTCTACTTCCCTGAGTGTTAGGGTTATAGGAATATGCACCATGTCTAGTTTTGAGGGACAAGAAACAGAGTATTGCTGTGTTGTCCAGATTGGTCCTGAAATTGCAGCTCTGGAGCTGAGGAGATGGTACAGCACTGAGGAACACTTGCTAGACAATCACAAGGACTGAGTGCAGACCTGGGCCCTATGCGAACAAGCATATAGCCCCAGCTCTCAGAAAGTGGGGCAGAGGAGACAGGGAGGATCAAAGGAACTTGTTGGCCCCAAGTTCAGATGGAGACCCTGCCTCAAAGGAGTAAGAGGGCAGTCTGAGAGAGCACCAAAATGCCTGTGTTAGCCGCCCTGGACACCCAAACACACTTGTGACACTTACAAGCACACACATAGATTACAAGTAAGTGTAAATCTGAAATTGCCTCTCAAATACCCAGGAGCAGATGGGACTGCAGGCAAGGACCACCACCACCACCACCACACCTTTCCAAACTAGCTTTGTTTTTTGAGGCAGGGTCTCATTCTGGAGCTCTGGATAGCCCTGGAACTCACTTGTAGATCAGGCTGGCCTCAAACTGCCCACGTTCCACTCTCCCAAGTGCTGGGATTAAAGGCAAAAAACAAAAATAGTTTTGTTTTGTGGCACAGTAATCTGTCCTATGTAGACAGGAACTGTATCAATCAGGTTATCTGGATTTCTTAAATAAATAAATAAATAGATAGATAGATAGATAAATAAATAAATAGCAAAGTCTCATAAACCCAAGCTGGCCATGAACTCATGATGTTAACAGTTGACAACCTTAAAGCTGGCTGGCTTGGAACTCACTATATAGAACATGCTGGCCTCAAACTCACAGAATTCTACCTGCCTCTGCCTGAGAATGTTAGTTCTTAAGTTATAAAAAGTATCCACTGTCTGAAGGTTCTTGCCCCCGGGACTGAAGATCAAAACTCATGGCCCAGGCAAGTCCTGTGTAACTAAGCTACATACATACCCAGCCTTATGCACTGTCTAGCTGTTGTTTCATTTTGTTTTAAAGGCAGGGTTCCTCTTGCCATAGCCTTTTTGTTTTGTTTTGTTTTGTTTTTGTTTTTTGAGACAGGGTTTCTCTGTGTAGCTTTGCGCCTTTCCTGGAACTCGCTTTGGAGACCAGGCTGGCCTCGAACTGACAAGAGATCCTCCTGCCTCTGCCTCCCGAGTGCTGGGATTAAAGGCGTGCACCACCACCATCCGGCTGCTATAGTCTCTTAACTAGAATTACAAGCATGAGCTACCAACTGTTCCCAATGCTGTTCCCATTGATTCTTACCAGGGACAAAGGATGTTAGGAGAACGCACCTGTTTCCATGACTTGTGTAAGTCAAGATGTACCAATTTATGCCCAAACAGGCATGTACTTCCAGTCTATATACTGTGTTTCCCTCACGAGCTCACTCACCCTGCCCCAGGTTATAAGCATTCCAAAGATTTAGCCTTGGCTTTTAGAAAGGGTTGTTTAAGACAGATCCAGCTGTGGCCCAGGCTAGCCTCAAACTATTTAGGTAAGGATAACATTGAACTCCTGATCCTCCTGCCTCCACCATCCAAATGCTAAGAATAGGCATGCGTTCCTGCAGGTCTTTATTTAAGTTGTCTTAGTCTGCCCTGTACTTACACTCACTCCTAAGTGATGGTGGCGGGCACCTGTCACCACACCTAGCTACTGCCGTTCTTTTAAACCTTTCTGAGCGACGTCTGCACTAGCAGACAGAGCTGCTATGCAGCTAACTGATGCCCTCAATGTGCCTCACAAACACTGAGGGTCTGGAGCCAACGGGGGATAGTGGTATAGAGATATGGGATAGAGAAATGCCAAGCAACTTTCCTCAATCTAAACAAGCTTCTGACTGCTCTCACATGAGCACCTGTCTCACTGACTCAAGCTCAGTCAGTTACTTTTGGGTCTTCTTACTATGTACATCAAACTCAGCATTCATGAGTTGGTGAACTCTGGTCCAGGGACCAGATCTTGCTCATGGCAAGTTTGCGTATAGGCCAAGAGTAAAGAATGAAGTTTTATGTTACAGATAAATGGCTGTGCAGAAAGTAAGAAATAATACATGCTACCTTTGAAAATAACAGGAAATGCCCATTAGAGCACCCACTAAGAGAAGCTTTATTGAAACTAATTGATATGTCCCTTGTTTCCACTGCTTCAATGACAGAGCTGTGAATCTGCAACAGAGGCCATAAGGCCCACTCAGCATTAATCACTTTCTCTCTGCCCTTCCCCCCACCACACACCATTTTGCTTGTTTGTTCCTCGATGTCCTGGAACTCACTCTGTAGACCAGGCTGGCCTTGAACTCAGAGATCTGCCTGCCTCTGCCTCCAGAATGCTGGGACTAAGGCTGCGCCACCACTGCCTCGCTCTCTCTGGCCCTTTAACAGGAAAGTTTTGCTAACCCCAGAGTAAATCACAAAACCCAGAAATCCTTTGATGGGGCTTTCTTATCTTTAACCTTTACGTGAACAGAACCAGCCACAGGTCAGGTTCTTAATATCTCACAACTGGGCTAGAGAGATGGCTCAGAGGTTAAGAGCACCGACTGCTCTTCCAGAGGTCCTGAGTTCAATTCCCAGCACCCACATGGTGGCTCACAACCATCTGTAATGAGATCTGGCGCCCTCTTCTGTATACATAATAAATAAATAAATAAATCTTTAAAAAAAAATCTCATAACTATACGATAATTACAATCTTGTCAATGTTTTCATTTCCTTCGGTCCTATCCAAAAACGTTCAAAGATTGCCTATGAACTAGAGGAATAAAATCCACAGTCCTGTTTCTTTACCAAGACCTACTGGCCTTCTGGTACTGGCCTACTGGGTGGCTCTTAACCTCTTTCCAACCTACTTTCCACCAACACTCAACACAATCTTTTCCTAAAGGTCCCTCTGTTCCTAACCAATAATAATCTCTATTGCATCTATCAAGACTTTTAAAGTCATTCATGAGCTCCCTCGCCAGCTGCCCTGTAGAACTTCCTTAGGGCATTCAGTAGCCTCCTCCCCTAACACACACACACAATGGCATCTATATGAAACTAAAGGCTGGAAAACAAACACCTTGCTTATCTGTCCTTATGTCTCTGTGCAACTCACTGCTTAGTATATAACACCTAAAGGTAAACATTTATTAGTATACATTTTCTTTTCCCTGAAATACACTCAGCTTAGGAGACTTATTTCCATGGTATCCTATTGATAGCTACATATAAGATATACTCAGCCAGACGATGATGGCGCACGCCTTTAATTCCAGCACTCGGGAGGCAGAGGCAGACGGACCCAGCCTGGGCTACAGAGTAAGTTCCAGGACAGGCTCCAAAGCTACACAGAGAAACCCTGTCTCGAAAAACCAAAAAAAGATATACTCAATAAATAGCTGCTGAATACTTTGAATGAGGTTGTCTCAGTGAAATACTGAAAACAGGATTCACTGTGTATCTTCTCTTTGCACCCAGCCTTCCCACTCCTTATCCAACCAATATTATAACCCAGAAAAAAGGGACCCTAGCCCACTAACAGCCCTACCTCCTCAGGGATCCAATTCAATCCCTCCCTAACTCCCAAACACCCCAACCTACACAGTCCCCATCAAACCCACTGAACTAGTCTGTGCCACTCAGGAGGTACAGCTCAATAAACTTCAACTGTGTGTGTCTCTCTTTTGTTTCTTATTTGAGGCAGGGCCTACGAAACCTTGGTTGGCCTGGATAAAGCTCGCTATGTAGACTAGGCCGACATCAAACTCATAGAGATCTGCCTACGTCATTCAGTCTCCAAGTCTATACATCTTGATCCCTGCATCTAGTCACTTGGAAGCAAAGTCATGAATACAAAAAGACAAACTATAGGGCTGGGAAGACAGCTGGGTTAAAAGCACTAGCTGCTCCTGCAGAAAACCCTGATTCAGTCACCAGCATTCGGAGGGTGGCTCACAACCTTCTGTAACTCCAATCCCAGGAGATCTGATGCCCTCTTCTGACCTCTGTAGGCACCGGGCACAGACACAGTGCACAAGCATGTGCAGACAAAACATGCATACACGTAAAATAAAAAATAGTATGGGGAGTGGTGGTGGCACAAGTGGGGCTCAATGAACAGAGCCTCCTTTACAGAGCCTTCAGCAGAGACCTTCAGGTCACATTTGTCCCATTCTGCTCACCTTAAATCTTCGAGCTAGAAATTTATTCTTGATCTCTAGAAAATTGCCACGATTCATTTCCCCCTTGAAAGGCTCATTGAGGATGGCATACCGTGGGTCATTCTGGATATCCTGCCATCGGGCATAGCCATGGCTATTAGGGAAGTGCTCAGGAAAATCAAAAGAAACAAGAGCCTCAGGCTAAAGCCTGCACCTAGACCCCGGTCTGGACTCCGACAAGGATACTTTATAATGCCAGCCAGCAGCCAGTAGTCATGCCGGCGGTGCCAGATCTCATACGTCTTCTTGGTGACTGTGGCTGCCCGCTCCTCGTTCTGCCAGAGGGAGTGCAATTCTGAGAAGGAATTGAGAGGAAGGTTGGTGAGTGGAAAAAAGGCAAACACCTGTGAGAATTTAAAAAACCACTTAGGTGTGCAGGCAAGGAGGAGCACACCATATTCTACAGACTGAGCCCCAGGCTAGCCAGGACTACATAGTGAGACCCTGTCCCCAAAAACCCAACGACAAAAACGAAAAAAAAAAAAAAAGAGTTATCTTTGTCCCGTCCCCCATCCATCTCGGTATGGTCCAGTTCTAGCTCCCTAACACAGAACCCAGAGGGCAAACAACCAATCATAGCACGTCCCACTACACACAGGCTTCACCTCAGGTCCCCATTCCCATACCAGTGAAACCCCCGTCTGCAATGTTGAACATGAAGCGCTGTTTGACGTTTTTCTTCTGCTTCTCATCACTAAGATCCTTGGGGGTTTCTCCATTCTGAAGCATTACCTCCTTTTTCTCTTCTTCCTCTTTCTTCTCTTCTGCAGGATGTGACAACGAAAAACATCAGCCCAGTCTGAAACCCACGACTCTAGCCCTTGTCCACAGCACTGCATGCTCCACCTGTCTGCCTCCACCTCCACACTCAGGTCTCCTAGACCCAGGGAAAGGGGCCAGCTCTCTAACAACTATATTTGGGAACAGTCAGTCATTTATCTTGGAATAAGCTGTCTACAGTAACAGGTAATGAAGTGGGGGTGGTGATGTGCTTGCTTCCGGTTTTAGTCCAAACAACAATCAGCTTCTGTACACACTGACCTTTGTCTTCCACCACGATAGGGGTCAGGTCTATTGCAGACTTCTCCTCTACCTTGTCTGTCTCAGCAGAGCCTAGAGAGAAGAAGGCACTGAGAACACCCTGAAGAAAGACCAGCTGCATTCTGCCCGCCCCCCCCCACACCCCCACAACTGCAACAGTGTTACACGTCCACACTGCTATGAAGAGAGTTTACAGACGTCAGAGGCTAGGATAATTTCGAAACAAGGGTCCCAGGTTATCACTTCTTCCTGGTACTCCAGAAGCCTAGCAGAAGTCTAGAACTACACAGCAACCTGGAGTGCCTATAGGAAATCCGTGTGTACCTTTGGGCTCCACCTCCATAGGCTCCTCTGTCCTCTCCTTCACCTCTGCCTTCTCCACTTTCTCCTCTCCCTCAGGAGGCTCAGCAGGAGCCTTTTCATCCTCAGGGGCAGGGGCAGGAGCAGGAGCAGGGGGCTGTGCACCCTGCAAAGGAACAGAAGACAGAAGGTGAGGCAAATGGGCCTGGATCTCAAGAGACATCTGATGTCAGCACAGCATCCAGCCCCCTCTCTCTCTTACCTCGGCAGTCACCTCAGGGGCTGTAGACGTAGGCTTCACCTCCTTCTCTCCTTCTGTGCTCTCTTCTTCTTTAAGGCTATTCTCCTCTATTTTTATCCCATCCTCTGCAGACCAATGGAAGACAATCAATTAGGAAGGCCCTAGATCAGAGGTCATGCTGTTTGTCTCTTCCTAAATTGTCCTCTCGTGCCTTTAAGAGCCAGCCCTATTCTTAGGACAGCCCTCCTGAACGGAGAGGGAAATTGATGTGTGTCCTGCCAGACTGCCCTGTTAAGACTGAGCACAGGGGAGCAGAAAAAGGCCCAGGACACATGTTTTAAAAAGGACAGAAATGACATGGCAGGCACTCACCAGCAGGTGGCACAGGTGCAGGAGTATTGGGCTGTGTGTCCCCTGGTGTGGAAGGGGTCGGAGTCTTTGGAGAGGGTGAGCCTGGCTGAGACATTTTCTTGCTTTCCTCTACCTCAGCCAGTTCGGGCATGCTCCAGCGCCCGTTCACATGCTCAAACTCCTGAACCTATAGCAAAGGACGGCAAGGTCAAGACTCCTTTCCAGATGTGGGTTACTTTCCTATCGGCCCCCAGTTTCTCTAGAAATCTTTATAAATGAAAACAGGCTTGGGGCTCACCTTTTTTCGAATCAAGGACATGACACCAATCCTAGTAAGAACGTGCTGCCGAGACAGGCCTTCACGGGGGACACCATCAGCAAAAGTTTCCGCCCCATCTGCCCCAGGCTCACATAAATGCCGCATGAAGAGTGACACATAAGCCCTGTGGGAAGGGAGAGGACACAGTTCAACAGAGAGCCTGTCACACGGTTGCTGGCCATAACATGGCTCCATCACAAGGTAGGGCCTACAGGGCCCTGGAGTGCTGGTCTCCAGACCCACACTCTAACCCAAGCTCTTCAGGGAAGCCAGGAACACAACTCTCAGAAACAACAGCTTCACCTGCCAACTACAGCTAGCAACACCCCTTTCCTTGAACAACATGGGCTAGGCCCTGGCTCCAACTGGTATGCCTAGCCCTCAACTTACTTAAATTCTTTCTCTGACTTGCCTCGAAGATCTCTCACAAGCCACTGAGTGGTAAAAGCATCCTGAGGTGGCATGCCATATCGCATAATTGCATTAAGAAATGCTTTTCTCTGACGAGCATTAAAACCAAGTACCTAAGGAAAAAAAGAAGCACCATAAGAGGAAGCAAGTCTCCTCCCACCAAAGACCCACTGTGCGGCCTTCTCTCACCCCTTCACCCCACTATGGGATCATACGGTACTTACTTCAATATTTCCACCAACACGGGCCAGCAGAGGAGGTAATGGCTTATCTTTATCATTCCGCAGGCCCTTGCGACTGGGCCTGCGGGGAGCTGGAAGAAGAGACAGTGAGTGAGTGACACTGATAGGACAGGGAACAAATGAACAGCCACAGAACTGGCAAGATGGCGCCACTCTCACCTTCTGATCGTTCATCAAAGTCTTCATCACCTTCCTCTGAGGCCACTGAGTAATCGGACTGGTTGTCGGACTGGTCGTCCTGCCAATCTGGAGGGAGAGAGGGCAGATGAGCGGGGCCCACTGCTCTAGTGGAACGGCCCGTGGGTGGGGGGCGGGGCCGGCCACACACACCTCGGTCCTCCTGGGAGCCATCATTGTAGTTGACCTGTTTACGGATTCTTTTTCCTTTGCCCAGATTTCGGGCTAGATCTTCTTGCTGCTGCTCATAATGGTGCCGCAGCAATTTCTCCCAGTAGTCAGGATCCACACTTTCTTCCTGTTTTATGATTTCCCGTTCTACCTCCTCTTCCTCCTGGGACAGAGGGAGGGCCAGGACTCAGGGGTGCTGAAGTCAGCACCACCAGCTACCCCTGGTCCTCACAGTTCCCATTCTGCTAGCTCCTTTGCACGGCTGGACTTGTAAACACTCGGTGTGCCTGCTTGAACCTAAAAACTTGGAAGAAATTTAAGAGACAGGACATGGCTCCTCAAAAGGTTATGTGTAGATTAGCAGTCAGCCTGATTGAAGAAAAATGTGAGAAGGAAAAGTATTATGACGAAACAGAATGAGACACTGTGCAGCTTCTATCCCTTCCTACTGGCAACACCCAGAAGCAGGAGAACAAAGAGGAAGGTTAGCACCTTAGCCGGAAGGATGGAGGGCTTCCCAAAGACTGCAAGAGATCTTCAAGACAAACAGGCCAAAAAACATTCTGATCTTAATTAACCTCAGAAAAAATTATCAGCTGCTTGAGAAATTAAAACACACACACACACACACACACACACACACACACACACACACACACACCCCTTTCCCACATGTATACATACAGAAACACACTCAAATATTTTCAATAGCTCTCCAGGTTTTGAGGAGTTTATTTTGTTTTCTGAACAGGGTTTCTCTGTGTAGTCCTGGCTGGCCTTGAACTCATGAAAAGTCATCTATCTACCTCTATCTCCTGAGTGCTGGAGATTAAGGCTTGTGCCACCACTGCCCAGTTTGGATCTCCAAGTCTTAATACCCAAGTACAGATTCTTTTCCCCTTGGACACTTCAGAAATACTGATTACATACAAATACTGGGCTGAGTGCTTGCTCAGCATACACAAGGCCGTGGGTTTGACCCCCGGAATACATAAACCATGCATGGCAGCATGTGCCTATAATATTAGCCCTTGAGAAGTACAGCCAGAAGAATCGGAAGTTTAAGAACAACTTTAGGGCTGGAGAGATGGCTTAGAGGTTAAGAGCACCGACTGCTCTACCAGAGGTCCTGAGTTCAATTCCCAGCACCCACATGGTGGCTCACAACCATCTGTAATAAGATCTGGTACCCTGTTCTGTATACATAATAAATAAATAAATCTTTAAAAAAAAAAAAAAAGAACAACTTTAACTACAGTGAAGTCAAGGCCGGCTCAGAATATGTGAGACTATGTCTCCAAAAAAAAGGGAGAAGAAGCAAAACCCAAGTTCTTCATGACAGAGTAAAACCATTGTTCACAGCCTGAGTACAAATAACCTAAATGTCAGAGCTGGCCCTGGGACCCACATCAGAGAGAACCAACTTCCTGCAACTTGTCTTCTGTCCTACACACATGCACACGCGCATGCACACACACACTCAAATAAATGTCAAAAGAAACAAACGAAATAACTACACAACTAAATTACAGAATAGACTGGTCATCTCTAATGAAAGAAAACAAAATCTAAGACTATGAAACTCAGATACCCAAAAGTTATAACTGCCTTTAAAATTTTTTATTTTAGCCAACTGGTGGTGGCGCACGCCTTTAATCCCAGCACTTGGGAGGCAGAGTAAGGCGGATCTCTGTGAGTTCAAGACCAGCCTGGGCTACAGAGCGAGATCCAGGATAGGCACCAAAGCTACACAGAGAAACCCTGTCTCAAAAAACAAACAAAAAAAAAAAAAAAAAAAAAAAGTTGATAGAAGAAATTTTCATTTTAGTATTTTTTTTTCATGCATTGGTATTCTGCCATGGGCGCCAGGTCCCCTGGAACTGGAGGTGCAAATAGCTGTGAGCTGCCATGTAAGTGCTGGGAACTGAACCTGGATCCGCTGGAAGAGCGGTCAGTGCTCTTAACCACTGAGCCATCTCTCCAGGCCCCCATTTTAGTATTTTTAATTTTATATATATGTTTTGCCTGCATGTTAAGTCTGTGTGAGCCTGGAACCCAAGGAGACTAGAAGTCAGCATCAGAACCTTTGGAACTGGAGCCACAGATGTTTGTAAGCTGATGTGTGTGTATAAAGAATCAAACTCTGAAGAACAGCCAGAGCTCTTAACTGCTAAATCATCTCTCCAGACACTCCCTCCACTATTTGTTATATAACTCCCCAGCAGAAAGACAGACAGACACACCCCAAGCATGGTGGCGCACACCTATAATCTAAGCATTTAGAAAGATGAAGCTGGAGGATCACGGTCACCCTGGGTAAGACAGTTACACACAAACCCATATGTACATATTATGTATGCGTATGTATGTATATAACACACATACACATACACATACACACACACACACACACACACACACACACACACACACACACACACACACACACACACACACACACACACTGCTCTCGAGTCAAAGTGAAAACAATTGTCCCCAGAAGAGAACTAGGCAGGACGGGGTGGAGGAGAGATTTTTTTCTTTTGGATTTTGAACCATGTTGCTGTATGGCCTGTATGCGAATGGAAAGTGGTGGAGCCTCCATGGTACAGACCTGGGAAGAAGAAGTCAGGTCACTGGAAACATGTATTGAAGGAGATACTAGACAGCAGTCTGTTCTCTCTGCTTCTTTACTGCCCTCTGAGCACTTTCCTCAGTACACATGCCCTGTTAGGATAGTCCTGTTGTCCATAAGCAACAGGACCTGACTATCTACACCAAAGCTCCTAAAAGATGTAAGACAAAACAAGCTTTCTTATCCTTTTCCCTCCCAATCTGGTTTTTTGAGATAAGGTCTCACTTTGTAGACCCAAGAGGCCTGGAACTCACTATGTAGACCAGGATGGCCTTGAACTGTTTGCCTCTGCCTCTTGAATGCTAGGATTAACAGCATGCACCACCATGGTGGGCTCAGTTTTTTCTAAATTGATCATCACACACCTATAAACTCAGCACTCAGGAAGCTGAGGGAGAAGAATTGAGCCTGGAATTGATTTCCAGGTGAGAGCACGTTACAGTGTGACCTGGCCGTTAAAATAAAGTTTTGTGCACAAAGTTACAAGCCTTAGCTCTTTTTTCTTAGCCAGTACAGAAGCTGAGGCAAGAGAACCAAAAGTTCAAGGCCAGCATGGGCAATTTATAGAGGGGCTGGGGATATGGCTTGGCTGGTAAAGTGCTTCCACAGCATGCACCAATTCTTGGATTCAATTCTCAGCACCACATACAACCATTTGTGATGACAGATGCCTGTAATCCCAGCACCTGGGAGGCAGAGGGAAAAGGGTCAGAAGATCAATGTCATTCTTAGCTGCCTAAATTCTATCTTGGGATACATAAGACCCTGTCCCAGGTGGGCAGTGGTGGTGCACACCTTTAATCCCAGCACTCAGGAGGCAGAGGTAGGCAGATCTTTATGAGTTTGAGGTCAGCCTGGTCTACAGAGTTAGTTCTAGGACAGCCAACCCTGTCTCAACAAAAATAAAAAGAACCTGTCCCCAAAGAAATTTTTAAAGTACACAGTACCATGCATAATGAATATACATAATAAAAATTTTAAAAGAAAACTAAACAAAAATTCTTTTAGTACGAATGAATGTAACTCAGTAGCAGATTAACTGCTTAGCCCCGGGTTCCATCCCCAGCAACTCCACCTTCTGATTAAAAGGTCTAAAAAGAAATAAATACCCAGGTGTGGTGGTAAATGCCTTTAACCCAGCACTTGGAGGCAGAGGCAGGCAGATATCTGTGAGTTCCAGGCCAGAGCTACATAGTGAGGCCCTGTCTAAAAAAGGAAAATAAAGTAAAAAGCAATAACAGGCACTAACCAGAGAAGACCACATATACTTGCATAGTCACTATCAAAGATCGGCCCTAACACGTGCTGTGACAGGCAACTGCTTCTACAGAATACTCTCTGCTACTGTAAGGAATACGACCTCCTACAAAAACCGCAGGTTTTGGTTGAATTTACTGCTGACTTATATAAAGTTTCCCCCCAGTTACACATCCCCTACAAACGAGCTGGTAAAAAAGCGCAGTGTACTTTTCCACGTGCACAAAGCTCAGGTCCAATCCCCAGCACCACATATCAGATGTGGCAGTTACACATGTGGCATAGGCCTGTCATCCCAGCACTCTGAAGGTAGAGGCAGGAGGATCAGAAACTCAAGGTCATCCTCGACTACACAGTGACTTCCAGAACAGCCTGAGATATAAGGGACCCTGTCTTAAAATCCAGAAGACAGACAGACAGACATTGTGGTTCACATGTATAATCTTACACTTGGGAGGCTAAGGTAGGAAGACCATGAGTTCAAGACCAGCCTGGGATACATAGGGAGATCCTGTCTCCAAAAAATTGCAATAATAAACTGGGCGGTGGTGGTGTACACCTTTAATCCCAGCACTTGGGAAGCAGAGGCAGGTGGATCTCTGAGTTCGAGGCCAGCCTGGTCTACAGAGCAAGTTCCAGGACAACCAGGGATACACAGAGAAACCCTGTCTTAAAAAAGAAAAAGAAAAAATTTTTTTCTTTTTCTTTTCTTTTTTTTTTTGTTTTTTTGAGACAAGATTTCTCTGTGTAGTTTTGGTGCCAGTCCTGGACCTTGCTCTGTAGACCAGGCTGGCCTGGAACTCACAGAGATCCACCTGGCTCTGCCTCCCGAGTGCTGGGATTAAAGGGCAGTCCACCACAGCCCAGGAAAAAAAAAATTAAATAAATTAAAAAATAATAATAATAAACAAGGAGGAAAGAAAAGTCCCCATGAGTGTTTGATTTAGGACCCTTCAAAAACCTAACCTAAACTAGGTGGTGGTGGTGCACACTTTAATCCCAGCACTTGGGAGGGAGAGACAGGCAAATCTCTGTGAATTTGAGGCCAGCCTGGTCTACAAAGGGAGTTCTAGGATTCATGCAACACAGGATGACCAGGGCTGTTACACAGAGAAACCCTATCTCGAAAAACGGGAGGAAAAAAAAAATAAAAAAACAGCAAAAAAAAAAAACCAAAAAAACAACTAACCTATCAGGCAGAACTGATCTTATAGCCCTATGCAAATCACTAAAAAAAAACCACAATAATCCTGCTAATCAAGATCTGCTAGACAAGGGTAAGGATATGAGTCAGCTGGACAGAATGCTAGCCCAGCATGCAAGGAGCTTTGGGTTCAATCTCCATTACCAAGTAAACCAGGCCTGGTGGCCCATAGTGTCAGCACAACAACTTGGAAGATGGAGTCAGGTTATTCTCAGATACACAGTAAGATCCAGGCCAGTCTGGGATATCTGAGACCCTGTCTCAGAAATAAAATAAAACAAAAAAATAGTAATAAAAATTCTGCCAGATAGTCAGACATGATATGGTGGCCAGGAATGGTAGGTGGCACATGCCTGTAATGCCAGCACCTGAGAGGTAGATGCAGGAGGATCAGGTATTCAAAATCAGCTTAAGCTACATAGAGTTCAAAGCCAGTCTAGGCTTCAGCTAAAGTAGCACCCAGGCCTGTAATCATAGCAACTGGGATGTTGGTGCAGAAGGATCCAAAGTTTGAGATCTATGCTGAATAACAAGACTTTGTTTAAAAAAGAAGGGGGGAAAAGGCTATACTATCAGAAGACAGCAAGAGCATCATCATTCTGATGAGAAAGCATGGTGAAGACATCAAAAATCCATGCCAACCCAACCCTTCGTCAAGTGGTTTAAAGGGAACCAGCAAAGAAAGCAATGTTTTTAAATTACTTAAGGGAAGAAATGTATTCCAAAAACCTCACACATTCTCTTTTGGTAGTTTTTGCTTCTTAGTGTAAAAGATCAAAGGGGGAAAAGGAAAAAGGGAAGAAGTCTCACCTTTGAAAAAAAAAAAAAACAGCTCGTTATTAAAGCATGTATCCATCTGCTTTTTCTAAGGTAGCATTCAAAAAGGTGTATGAAGAATTAATAAGATACATAAAAGTAAGACTCTAGGATTAGAGTCTATGCTGGTCTATGTGAGTCTATGTGAAACCTGGCTGTGTAGTTCCTGACAGTCAAGGCAAAGATGAGAATGGAAATTGAGCATGTTACATTCTTTCTTTTCAAGGCAAAAAGATGTTTTCCTGTTGTTTCAAATATCATCATGATCTCAATTCCAATTTTCAGACCAATCACCAAGAACAGCATTGCCTTGGACTCATACTCACCCCCATTTCTTCTTCCCGTACCACATACTGGGCCACTTTGAATGAGCTCAAATACTCATTCATGCCCTGCAACTCTGTGTCTTCGGTCTCATCCTGGTTTCGATCCAGCAGCCGTTCAATGGCCTTGTCATCATAATGGATGACACTGCTGTCTTCTCCCTCTTTGTTATCTCCGCCTGTCAAGAACCAGGAACCCACAACCCCCAGTCAGTTCAGCTGCAGTAGAAAAAGCAGTTCCCAGCCAGGTGGTGGTGGCACACGCCTTTAATCCCAGCATTTGAGAGGCAGAGGCAGGAAGATTTGAGTTCGAGGCCAGCTTGGTCTACAAACTGAGTTCCAGGACAGCCAGGGCTACACAGAGAAACCCTGTCTTGAACAACAACAAAGGGGGAAAAAAAGGGAGGAAAAAGCAGTTCCCATGGAACCCCTGCTATCAAAAGTACTTCCCTACCCTCTGAGAAGCCAAGTTCCACCCAAACTTTAAGCTTCTGATTAGCTCACCCCCATCTGTGGCTTCATCCTTGAATAGTTCCTCAGTGCCAAATTTGAGGATGTCATCGAGCTCCTGTTTGGACATGGAGCCGGTCTTGGAGCCCAGGCCAGGGCGCACCACCAAGTGTGTCAGCATCATCTTCTTCTTTGCCACCTGTGTGATGCGCTCCTCCACTGACGCACGGGTCACAAACCGGTAGATCATCACCTTCTTATTCTGCCCAATTCGGTGGGCTCTACTAAAGGCCTGGAGTTGATCAAGCAAACCGGCAATCTTATGTCCTACTGACTTTCACAGAAAAGTCATACTAGACAGAAGCTGAAGCTAGTCTTCCCATAAAATCGCCTTTGCAGCTCTCCCTCCAGACATCAACCTCTTATCACATTACCCAAACTAGGTCTATAACTAACCCCAATTCCCAGGCTCATAAGATAATGACCTTCAAAAATAAAAGAGAAAAAGTCTGTTGTTTCACTCATACTTAAATTTCAAATCATAGAACCCCCTTCTGCAGAGTGGGGACTGCTGGGACCTCCTAAAGCTGCTACTCTACTCACCTGAATGTCATTATGGGGGTTCCAGTCAGAGTCATATATGATAACTGTGTCAGCAGTGGCCAGATTGATCCCAAGGCCCCCAGCTCGAGTGGAAAGCAAGAAGCAGAACTGTTGAGCACCCGGTGCTAAGAAACAGAAAACACCATGAGTTCTCTACTGAATTCCAATAAATAAGTACAGAAGGAAGGTAAGAAACAGCTTATAAAAACACCAAACAATTGTCATAAAGGATACTGAAATCAGCATCAAAGTTTACAAACAATATTAGCATAATCTCAAGTATCTGCCTCAAGAGATGTATGAATTTCAATGAGAAAAGTAACTTTACAATGGAGAATTTTAGCAGACATCACCTCAACCAAGTGACTAATAATCACCAGAAAGGATAAATGCAAACATCACACACAATATCACATGTGACATTTGTGTACATGTATTTTTCAAAAAAGAGGCTCTATATGAAATAACTGACCAGAAATTCCAAGTATCAATACCATGAAGGAAGGCGGGGGGGGGGGGGGGGTGGGGGGGGGGGGGGGGGGGGGGTGGTGGGGGGGGGGGGGGGGGTGTGTGTGTGAAATGTCAGTTAAGAAACTTCCTATGGGGCTGGAGAGATGGCTCAGCAGGTAAGAGCACTGACTGCTCTTCCAGAGAATACGGGTTCAATTCCCAGCAACCACATGGCAGTTCACAACTGTCCATAATTTCAGTTCCAGGGGATCTGACACCTTCATACCAATGCACATAAAATAAAAGTTTAAAAAAAGAAGAAGAAGCTTCCTATCTAACTACAGTGTAGAGTAGGATCTAATTGTGCACCGGGGATTCGACCCTCAAACAGAAAGAGAACGTTAGAGAAAAATGGGCGACACTCAGTCAGGATCCACAGTTCACCTGACAGCATGACTCAATGCTAACTTCCTTCTGCTGGCAACTGTACCATGTTAGATTCTGTTTTGTTGAGTTTTTTGGGTTTTGTTTGTTTTTTGAAACAGGGTCTCATGTAGATCAGACTGGTCTTAAACTCTGGATAGCCAAGGATAACTGAACTTCCTGTCTCCACATGTCTCCGCTTCCCCAGTGCTGAGATTACAGTTATGTGTCACGACACTTTATGTAGGCTGGGGATGGAATCCAGGGCCTGGTGCATGTTAGACAAGCATTCTAACAGTTGAGTTACATCCCCAGACAACCCCATGTGTGTGTTTGTGTGTCGGGATATGGGAGTGCGCTCTCCAGCACCCACATGGAGGTCAGAGGACAAAGCCAGTCTTCCCCTTCCATTATGTGACTCCCAGACACAGAAACTCAGGTAAACAAGCTTGGCATGTCTACCGACTGAATGGCTCACTGGCCTTTTAAAAAGGGATTTTTAAATTACATTTATTTTGTGTATGTACATGCACGTGCACACATGTTGTCAGAAGACATCTTGCAGGAGTTGGTTCTTTCTACCTTATGGGTCCCAGGATAGAAATCAGAGACATGCTTGGTAGCAAGTACCTTCGCCTGGTAGTCATCTCACTGGCCCTTTTCACCCACTTCCAGACAGGGTCTCCGGTAGTCATGAGATATATCCTTGAATTGTTTTTATTTTTATTTTATTTGAGACAGAGTTTCTCTGTGTAGCCCTGGCTGTCCTGGAACTCACTCTGTAGACCAGGCTGGCCTCAAATTCAGAAATCTACCTGCCTCTGCCACCAGAGTGCTAGGATTAAAGGCGTGTGCCACCACCACTCGGCTATTTTTAAATATTTTTTCATCTTCATTTTGTGTGCGCTCCTGTTTTGCCTTCATATGTCTGTGCACAGCATATGTGCACTGCGGGGAGAAGCCATAAAAGGATGTTGGATCCCATGGAACTGGAGTTAAGGAGTTATGAGCTGCCATGTGGGTGCTGGGAATCAAACCCAGGTCCTCTACAACAGCCAGTGCTCTTTCCAGCCCCACTGATGTACCAAGTGCTGAGATACATGCATATGCCTCAAGCACTCAAGTTGCTATTATTAAGAGCAGCAGGCTAACTCTGTTTTTTTTACAATTTTTAAGTCTAAAATATTTTAAATAATCAGGACTACATAGAGACACCCTGTCTCAAAAAATAAATAAATATGGCGCACGCCTTTAATCCCAGCACTCGGGAGGCAGAGGCAGGCGCATCTCTGTGAGTTCGAGGCCAGCCTGGGCTACCAAGTGAGTCCCAGGAAAGGCGCAAAGCTACACAGAGAAACCCTGTCTCGAAAAACCAAAAAAAAAAAAAATAATAAAATAAATAAATAAATAAAAAATAAAAAAAAATAAAATAAACCTAAATAAAATTTAAAGGTTGGGGGAAGGTGTAGTTGTATTTACTGAGACAGACGAGTCTTATTTGAGCTTCAACAAATCTGATCCTCGGGGTTGGAGAGAAAGAGCGTTCTCGGCTCACAGAGGACCTAGGTTCAGTTCCTATCAGGTAGCTCATAACTCCAGGCACCTCTTCAGGCATCTGTACATACATGATACACAGACAAGTAGGCACACAAACATGCATATACAAATAAATTTAAAGCCGGGTGGTGGTGGCGCACGCCTTTAATCCCAGCACTCGGGAGGTAGAGCCAGGCGGATCTTTGTGAGTTCGAGGCCAGCCTGGGCTACCAAGTGAGTTCCAGGAAAGGCGCAAAGCTACACAGAGAAACCTTGTCTCGAAAAATCAAAAAATAAAAAATAAAATAATTTTAAAAACAAAACTAATCTGATCATTCTTTCAGCCTCAGGATATAACAAGGTTAGAGAAAATGCCCCCCTTTTAAGCAGAAAGAACAAAGACTCCAAGGGGAAGGTCAGAAAAATCTCTTAGATATAGTCCAATTCCTTCTTCAAAAGCTTTACTCCTCCCCATCAATGACCAAGACCCCAAGAACTACTGAGAAAACAGGCGCACAAGAACAAGCTGGGGTACTGAAGAGATGGCGCAGCAGTTAGAGCACTGGCTCTTCCTCCAGAGGACCTGGATTCATTTCCAGTATCCACATGGCAACTTACAACCAGCTCTAATTCCAGTTCCAGGGGATCCAATGCCTTCTTCTGGCCTCTACAGGTACTATACGCCTATGGTACATAGATACACATGCAGGCAAAATACCCACACACAAAATAAAATATAAAAAACAAACCAGTGGGGCCAGTGAGATGGCTCAGCAGGTAAAGATGTCTTGATAACCTGTGTTCAATCCCCAGGATTTCACATGGTAGACGGAGAGAACCAATTCCTATAAGATTTCCTGTGGCCGGGCAGTGGTGGCACACACCTTTAATCCCAGCACTCGGGAGGCAGAGGCAGGCAGACTGTGAGTTCGAGGCCAGCCTGGTCTACAGAGTGAGATCCAGGACAGGCACCAAAACTACATGGAGAAACCCAGTCTCAAAAAACCAAAAGATTTCCTGTGACTCCTACATCTGTGCCATGGTGCACAAGTGTGTAGACACAGTTGCAAGCACATGCACACTTTAAAAGAGAATAAAGTGATAGTTCCAGAAACACAAGAAAATGGGGTCAGACAGAAGGCACAAGCCTTTAATCCTAGCATTTAGTTAAAGACAGGTCCACCTCTACATTTGAGTCCAGCCTGGTCTACACAGTTCTAGACCAGCCAAGGATATGTAATGAGACCCTGTTGCTTTTACAGAAGACCTGAGTTCAATTCCCAGCACCCACATGGTAACTCACAACCCTCTGTAACTCCAGTACCTAGGCACACACACAGTACACATACTTACATGCAGGCAAAACACTCACACGCCGGGCGGTGGTGGCGCACACCTTTAATCCCAGCACTCGGGAGGCAGAGCCAGGCGGATCTCTGTGAGTTCGAGGCCAGCCTGGGCTACCAAGTGAGTTCCAGGAAAGGCAAAAAGCTACAGAGAAACCCTGCCTCGAAAAACCAAAAAAAAAAAAAAAAAAAAAAAAAAAAAAAAAAGAAAAGAAAATGATTGCCTGGAAATATGCCACTCTTCTCTTACCATTGAAGCGGTCAATAGCCTCCTGACGCATGTTCCCAGTGATCCCACCATCAATACGTTCATATTTATAACCTTCATGTTCTAAAAAATCCTCTAGCAAGTCCAACATCTTGGTCATCTGTAAAAAGGAACAGCTTAATTATAGAGCTGTCAGGTGATAACTCTCCTCTCAGTCCCGAGAGCTGTCCCACCACTGTCCCCAAAGTTCTAGGTGGGCCCACATACCTGGGAAAAGATGAGGACCCGATGCCCTCCCTCCTTAAGGTTCTTAAGCATCTTCTGTAGCAGCAACAATTTCCCAGATGCTCTGATTAGGGCACTGCCATCATACATGCCATTAGGCATCTTAGGGGCTTCCTGGAGACAGAAGCAAAGGAAAGTGTATTAAAGAAGCCCACAAGGAGGAGTTAGCAACCCAGGAGGACAAAGAGGTGGCACAACTTACCATTGCCGCCACAGGGAAGAGGTAAGGGTGGTTGCAGCACTTCTTAAGATCCATCACCACATTTAGCAGGGAAACCTGGTTGCCACCACCTCGAGCATTAAGGGCTTCAAAATTCCGTGTGAGAATATACTTGTAGTACTTCCTACATGAACAAGATGCAAGGCCAGGTTGGACTCCAGTCTTTAAATGACTAATGATGCAACCCAGCAGCCTGAGGTCATCTTGCAACCTTCCTCACTGTGGAGCTAAGCTAACAAGCACTAGCCACGCGGTCGTTCTGTTAAGACACTGGAAGGTGTAACTAAGAACTACAAACTCCAGCTCCCAGGTCTCAAGTTTCTTCAGGCCCTGCCTGCTCCTGTCACCAGATGCCTAGGAGCTATATGGGAGAAACCCTTGGCAAAATGGCAGATGTCTAACTGTATTACAAGACTGCATTTGTGCTTCTCCACTTCACACTCACTTCTGCATAGGGCTCAGCTCCACACGCACTATCAGTTCTGTCTTGGATGGCATATTCTTGAATACATCAGCTTTGAGCCGCCGCAACATATGAGGCCCGAGCATGTCATGTAGTTTTTTAATCTGGTCCTCTTTAGCAATGTCAGCAAACTCCTCCAAGAAGCCTTCCAAATTGCTTCAGGAAAAAAAGAAAGTCGTTGGAGAGGGAGAAACGAAGGAAGGAAAGTACTACAGGAGATGGGCAACAAGAAGAATTAAGATAATCATGGACTGACTATGATAAACACACTTACTGGAATCTCTCAGGGGTGAGAAAGTTAAGCAGATGAAACAGTTCCTCCAGGTTGTTTTGTAATGGAGTCCCAGTGAGCAACAGCTTGTGCTGTAGTGAGTAACCATTCAAAACTCGGAAGAACTGGAGAAGAGAGATGAAATTCAAGAAATCAGGGCACCAATGTATCTCTACAGAATCCCAAGCTGTTTCACTGTCCAGTGAAATTAAGTCTCTTATGGCTGGTATCATTCTTAAAGGCCTGACCAGAAGAGAACTGCTACCACAGGTAAGGAAGGAAACAGACCATTGTTCCTTTCTTCTCCACTTAGGTTTCTTTCAAAGAGATGATGCTCCCAAAAGACTAAAACTGGAGACTATCACCTCCCTCCCTTCTCACCTTAGACTGATTGTTCTTCAGACGATGGGCTTCATCCACAATAAGGCAGGCCCAATCAATAGAACCTAAGATGGCCATATCAATGGTGATCAATTCATAGGATGTCAGCAGAACATGAAATTTCACAGATGCTTCTTTCTGCATAAAGATGAGTTGATTATTCATTACTGGTCCACTCCTCCAATATCAGCACAGCCAGGGACAGGTGGGCTTTCCCTGCTCCCAGAGTTACCCTTCTGCCTTACCCAGAGACCTGGTGAGGCAGCAAACTAAGCCCAAAGCAGTGACTCCCTCTCAAACAGTATCCTCTTCCTCCCCACACTGGGATACCTTCATTCGAGAGGCCTTCTTGCCACCACGAATGGCATTGTCTTCAAAGGAGAACTCATTCTCCCTGATGATAGCACGGCTGTCCTTGTCACCCACATAGGTTACCACGTACATATCGGGAGCCCACATCTCAAACTCTCGCTCCCAGTTGATGATGGTAGAAAGAGGAGCACTCACTAAGAAGGGGCCTTTGGAATGACCCTAGGAGGAAGAAAGAAGGCAGAATCAGGGCTAAGAGCCCTTCACCTTAGTGAAGCTGAGGTCTGACACCTGCAGCCCTGCCCCCCATCGCTCTCCTTTACAAAAGCTGCCTGACCCTCTCTTTCCAAACATTAACGGCCCACCTTGACAATGCCAAACTCATCCACCAAGACTTTCCCTACCACTAAGTCCACCCACAGTTCTGCTGACCTCAAAACACATGCATTCCATATCCCCCAGGACAGACACACTAAGTCTACCATGGCTCCACTCCCATAACAGTCCCACGGTAGAGTCTCTCACTGGCTAAGAGCACAGGCTACTCTTGCAGAGGACCCCCGTTCAGATCCCAGGACCCAGATGGTAGCTCAGTGTGTAACTTCAGTTTCAGGAGATCGGACCCCCTCTTCTGGCCTCCACAAGCACTGTACACAGGTGGTGCACAGACATTCATGCAGGTAAAACACCCACACAAATACAATTTTAAGGAAAAAAAAATTTCCACTACCAGACCTGTGTCTTCTTGTCCCTCAGCAGTGTTCAGAGTGAAACTACCTTCTTCCCTTCCTCCCTCTCCTCCAAGTACAAGAAAAGAATACAATCACAAAACACCCACACAAACACTAACATCTCTGCCATTCTTACCTCCTTGTAGAGGGAATAGAGAAAGACTGCGGTCTGCACAGTTTTCCCAAGGCCCATCTCATCAGCCAAGATGGTATCAGTACCCTGAGCCCAAGAGAAGCGCAGCCAGTTTAAGCCTTCCATTTGGTAGGGGTGCAAAGTGCCACCTGTGGCATCCAGGTACTCTGGCTGTCGCTCATACTTCACTGTTGGCTAAAGGATGCGAGAGAATACAAGAGCTGGTAAAGAATTGAGGAAGACAGTGGCTACTTCCTCCTTCACATGTCCTCACTAGATTTTTCCCCTGGAAGCTAAAAGAAAAACAACAAAACCCTTAAAGAAGCCAGGCACAGTAGCACCTGCCTATAATGCTCCTACTTCAGAAGCTGAAACTGAAGAACTGAGTTCAATATGAAAACCAAGGGCTGGAGAGGTGGCTCAGGGGTTGAGAGCACTGGCTGCTCTACCAGAGGACCCGGGTTCAATTCTCAGCACCCACATGGAAGCTCACAGTCCAAGATCTGACACCCTCATAGAGACATACATGCAGGCAAAACACCAATGTTATTCAAATAAACAGAGCACCAAAAAATATGAAAATTAAAGACTAACAATACACTAATTCTGCTAGATCTGCGAGGGAGCTTGGTGTGATGGTGGTGCACACATGCAATCAAAGCACTTGGGAGGTGTGGAGACATGAAGATCAGGAGTTCAAGGCCAGCCTCAGCTACAAGCGACTCTGCCTTTCTCAAATAAATAAATAGGCCCTTGTGTATAAGACCACTCCCTAGATAATGCTTTGTCATCATATACAATCTCTTCTGTGGGTTTTTCCTGATGGTGAAGAAAGAAAGAAATCACAGTGTTTTCTGATTTACAGACCTGTGCAGAGGGAGCATTTGAGCTACAGCCATCTGCAGGCTGACTTGGAGCTGCACCATGAGACTGCAGCAGGCAAGACATACTACCCACCCAATAAATGATGTCCTTCCTCTTCCACCCCAACTCACATCAACAGTTGGGGTCTCCGGAGGCCTCTCCAGTTTCCGAAGCTTCACCTTCTTGAGCTTCTTGCCCGGCCGTCCTTCCTCACCCCTCATTAACTCCCTAGGAATGAAACCACCACAATGCCAAGGGGTTCTCTCAAGAGAGCACTGTAGTTGGAGTTTTTTTGTCTGGCCCACAGTTAGGGCAAATCTTTTTTATCTGTTAGTTTTATAGTTGTTTAAACCCGACCAAGTAAACATAGAGACTTATATTGGTTACAAACTGTATGGCCGTGGCAGGCTTTTTGTTAACTGTTTTTATAGTTTAAATTAATCTATTTTTATTAATCTATACCTTGTCATGTGGCTTGTGGCTTATCGGTATTTTATATCTTTTTTATCTTGATGGCGGCTGGCAGTGTCTCTCTGACTCAGTCTTTTATTTTTTAGTTCTATTTTTTTTTTTGTCCCGTCTATATTTTTTGTTTAGTCAATGGCCAATCAGTGATTTATTTATTGACCAATCAGCAATACATTTGACATACAGACCAAAGGTCCTTAAAGGCGTGCGCCACTGACGCCATGTACTTGTTATGACTCTAATAGCTCTGACCCCCAGACAACTTTATTTATTAATATACAATTAAAATCACATTTCAGTACAAGTAAAATACCACCACAGAGCACCTCAGCTCTTTCCTCCCATTGCCTACCTGTGATTCCAGTAGCTCTGCTTGAACAGATCATAGTCCTGGATCTCCACATCCTCACTTTCCCAAGATGCCTGATCATAGGGTAAGTCTCGCCACTTGATTAAGTAGTGAACATGGCCCTTCTTGTCCACACTACAAGATCAATAAAGAAAAACTCCTCAGAGCCAGAAAGCAACTTTCCTCACCTCCTCAATCAGCCTTGCTCTTAAAAACTGACAAAACCGGCCAGGCGTGGTGGCACACGCCTTTAATCCCAGCACTAGAGGCAGAGGCAGGCAGATCTCTGTGAGTTTGAGACCAGCCTGGTCTACAGAGTGAGTTCCAGGACAGGCTCCAAAGCTACACAGAGAAACCCTGTCTCGAAAAACTGAAGGAAAAAAAAAAAAAAATACCGATAAAACCATTCTAAATCTGCCAGACTCCACGTGTACTCAGAGCCTCAATAATATCTGTCTTTGGATCACTAATCTCTCTGTACTTTATACTCTCCTACGGACCAAATTCTAGGACTCCGTCACTGAATTACAGAAGAATGTCTCCTGAGCGCAGTAAGTCAATGGCAATGTCCGCTCTCTTAGCCCCTTTAGTGAGAGCCCCCCATGGGTACACTACCTCCAGGGAGCCAAACAGGTACCTGTGGTTGAGGATTCGGTGGATCATCATCCACTCTGGTTTTATTCCATAGCGATAGAAGCGCTCTTCCATCTCTGCAAACTTAGGGTCCTTGTTCTTTCGCTTTCGGCTCTTCTCTTCATCTCCACCGAAGTCCCCAGAAGGCGGCTCATCCATATCATTCTTCCGCTGGTAGTTTCGGAACATCACCTGACAGTGCAGCTCCAGCTGGGAGCAGAGAGAGAGAGTAAGCCACCCTGGAACCCCTCCGGCCCTACTCACACGGCTCTTCTCACTGCCTCTGCAGGGTCGCCCCACATACAGCCTGTCCCAGGCTTACCTGCAGTTCTGATACCCAGGAGCAGTGCCAGTAAGACATGCCTTGCCATTTTACAAAGAACTGTCTCTCCGCGCCGCCCCTCCAAGGGTTTCGGAGAGGGGGTATTAGGATCAGCATCTGGAGGCCGAGGCACTGGTGTGGGAGATGGTGGCTGGCCCCACTTCCAAATTAGGATCTTCTGCACTTTGCCCTTAAGAGCTGGACACTGAAAAAGAGACCACTTTCTCTCAATTAAAAAGGCACAGGGAGATATATGAAATTCCCCAAGAATGAATAAACAGTAGTAATGTTTATGGGTGAATGGGTAATAGCACTTGCTGCACAAGGATGAGAACATGACTGAAATGGCTAGCATTTGTAGAGATGAGACTTGCTGGTCTCCCAGAGCAACCAGATTTGATTCCCAACATTCACATTGTGGATAACAACCATTTGTAACTCCAGTAACAGGAGACACGACACCTTCTTCTCTCATTGAATACACATAGTGTGCATACATACATACAGCAAAACACCCCATCATAAAATAAATCCCCCAGCACCCACATAGAAAGTCACACAGTCACATACATCTGTAACCCCAGTGCCATGGGAGCAGACCCAAGGATCACGGGAGCTTGCTAGCTGCCAGCCTAGCTCCAGGTTTAGTAAGATTTATTTAGTAAGATTCTTTTCAAAGGAATAAGATAGAGTAATAGAGTAGAACACTGCTGCTCTCCTGGCCTTAGGCACACAGAGGCCTGGACCCCTGCACATACATGTGCATACACTATACACACACACACACACACACACACACACACACACATTTTCTTTTCAGATATAAGTCTCACTGTAGAGCCCTAGCTGGCCTGGAATTCAATATATAGACCAGACCGACCTTAAACTCACAAAGGTCTTACTGCCTCTGCCTCTGCTAGATAATTAATGTACCATCATGCCCAGGAAATAAAATTAAAAACTACACAGGGAGCCTGGTGACCTACGTCTTTGACACCAGCACGGGGGAGGCAGAGGTGGGTAGATCTCTGTTCATTGGAGACCACCCTATCTGTTTTACACAGTGGATTTCAGGCCAGCCAGGGCTAAAAGTGGAACCCTATCAAAAAAAATTTTAAATAATTAAAAACAAATTAGTAGACAAGCCCACAACTTTAATCTTGTCAATGAGTCATTAAGACTTCATTTCAAATAAAACCTAACTCCATGACCCCTCCCTAGGTAAAGAACACTAGAATTTTCTCCTCCCTTTCTGGATATCATCAGAGCTTTAAAAAAAAAAAAAAAAAAAAAAAAGCCAAGGAGCTATACTTTAAACAATAACCCAGAATAGCTAGGCATAGAAAATTCACAGAACTAGAGCCAAGCAATTCTCCATCTTAAGCAACTTAAAGGCAGTAAGTAAATGGGCTCTCGAACAGTCTAAGTTACGAAGAATTGAGGCAAGACATCCAGACTAAATGAAGCTGGGCACAGTAACCTGAGCTTTACTCCTAATACTCAGGAAGATGAGGTAGTACAGCATGAGTTCAAGGCCAGCTTGGTCTATATAATGAGCTCCTTGTCTCAAAAATAAAAGTTTATTGCAGAGCTTGTGTACAAGAGCTAAGCTATGGGACCAACCCAGGTATTCAACAACAGAAGAACGAAGAAAATGTGGTATATTATACAATGCATTTCTTTTCAGCTATAAAGAATAAAGCTATGTCACTTACAGGAAAATGAATAAAAATGGCAGTCATACAGGCAAATTAAGTCAGTCTTAGAAAGTCTAGTTTTCTCTAATCTTTGAGTCCTAAATTTACAGATACATAAAATCATGTGCGTACCGAGGACATAAAGTAGATACAATACTATTAAAGAGGAACAAAGAACTGATGGGAAGGGAAGGGGAAGAGACCTCAGTGCAGCAGGCAGGCAGGAGGCAGAGGCAAGTAGATCTCTGAGTTCAAAGCCAGGCTGGTCTACATAGTAAGTTCCAGGACAGGCAGGACATATATAAAAACAAAACAAAACAGGGTCCTGCAAGAGTATCAAGTGCTCTTAATCCAGCTCCCAAAATTAAAGTTTTTAAAGACAAGACCACGTGTAGGGATCACACCTATAATCCCAGCACTCAGGAGATACCATGAATTGAAGGCCAGCCTGAGCTATACATATAGTAAGTTCAAGGCCAGCCTGGACTATGTAATAAGACATCACTTCAAAACACCAAAAAGGAAAAAAAAAGAAAGAAAGAAATAGGAATGACTGAACTAGAACAGTACTTCATCCTGCTTAAAAGGACTGCCAGGACACTACCTCCTCTATTCAGTTAATTCTATGTTTACACAGGAGATGGTGTCCCAAGACTAATTGAGAAAAAAAAGAAATTCCTGTCTCAGCTAGAAAATGTGTAGGTCTCCAGTGACCCTCCCCAGCCTCAGCCTCACAATGCCTACGAGAGAGCAAACCCTGTGCTATTACGGGACACTGCGCCCATCTCCCACCCCTCAACTCAAGTCACTCACAGTACAACGGGGACAGAGCCATTCGCCATTTGGGGATCTCTGGCAGCGGGGGGTTCAGGCAGTGGATATGGTAGGAAGAAGGGCAGGTGTCACAGCATAGCAGCTCCCCGCCATCTTTGCAGACTCGACAGAACTCCATATGGTGGTCATCTTCCTCTTCTGGGTCTCCCCCAACCTCTTCAAGAATCTCCTCACCCTCAGAATTGTCTTCTTTAGCCTCCCACTGGATGCCCTCCTTCTCCTAAAATAAAGAACCGGACATCAGATTATTACCACCCACACCCCCACCCCAAGCCAGAACCTACTAAAGCCATTGTGCCTTTAGATGTTTCCCAAAGCTGACAGCCAAGGACACTGCCATTTCTATTTCCACCCAGGCCCAAAGAAACTCATCACCCCCCACCCCTGCCCTTAGGGGTACCTTCCCAGGGGTCCCAGTAGCCAGGTACTCACACAGTGTGGGCAGCTCCACTTGCCCTCGGGGGCCTTCTCCATGTCTGGGTCCAGGCACACCATATGGTAGGCTCGGGGGCAGGTGTCACACAGGATGATCTCACCGCCTTGCTGGCACACCTCACAATAGTCCTGGTGGTCTGTCTCATAACCATCCACAGCAGTCACCTCCTCCTCGCCTGGGCAAGGAAGAGGGAAAGCCCAATTATTAGAACAAAACCTCTCCCCCACCCTTATCTCCTAAGGGAGATTCTCCCTGGCCACTCCCACCTTGTCCCATCCCCTAAGTACAGAAAAGAAACACACCTTTCTTTTTCTTTTTAGTGGTCCGGAGTTTCTTGCGGCTCCGACTACTGCGGCTGGTAGAACCATCAGAAACAGAGTAGCTATTGATGCTGGCATCGTCGAAGTCAGATTCTACATCTAAGTCATCATCCTCACTCTGAAAAAAATGAGAAAAGATCAAGGTTTTTTTTAAAGCCCAGGCCAAGGAAAGAATGGTAAAGAACCCCAGCAAGAGTTGCACAGAGGGAGCCTGGTCACACCTGCCTGAGGAATAATACCCCACATTCTTATGTACCTGACAGAAAGCAACATCCTTCTCCACCACACAGCTCCCTCTTCCCCCAGTGGGATGAACCAGGCTCTCACCGAGGATCTCTTACGCTTGGAGCCGAAACCTCCCAGCTTGATTTTCAGAGGAGCTACTTTCTTGGGTTTAGGTTTCTTGGCATCAGGCACTCGAGGGCTGCCTTTGGGCTTCCTCCGAGCATTGGGACCTAAAGTCAGGATACAGCCAAATGTCCATCACAAGGCGAGTGATAGGAGAACCAAGTCTTCACCTAAGCTTGCTCAACTCTGCCTTGCCTTCTAAATCTGAGGCTCACCCCTGCCTCCTGCCACTTCCCTTAGGGGCGATCCAGCATTCCTATGCTCTCTTTAGACTTCCCAAGCCTACCCTGGACTCTTCATTCAACTCCATTCACCTTTGCCCTCCTTGGTCTTGGCCTTGCGGATAGGCACCTCCACAGGGGGAGGGGGGGGTGCGACTTCAGTAGCCGTCACCATGCTCTCCACCACAGCCACAGCTGCTGCAGCTGCAGCCGCCACCGAAGCTCCAGAGCTGCCCTTGAAGGGGTTGTTGGTACTGAATTCCCTCCACTTTGCACCCAAGACCATCATCATCTTGGAGACAGCAATCTTGGGGTTTTTAGCAGCAATTAGGGGTCTGGTAGAGAAATGGACAAGAATGAGAAAGACGGCCATGTATAAAAATAAAAGAGAAAAGGAAACAAGAAGAAATTCTAGAAGGAATCTCCTCCCTTTCCACTCCCTAAGATCCTCCTGATTTACCGGACAAACTGGCTGAAAGCCTTGTAGTTGGTGAGGGTACGGTAATCTTCCTCTGAGAACACATGGTCAATGTCTTCCATGCCCCAGTCTTCCAAAAGCTGGGCAGATGATTTCGGTTCCTGCAGAGAGAACACAGTCAAGAAGAACCTGCCTCCTCCTGCCCACACTTGCTAAGAGAATGCGAGTTGAAACTATGGCTTGCAAGAGCAGGGTACAGAACAGTACAGAGGAAGTACTCGAAACTCTACGGAGAGATAGATGGGGTTCTAAAGGGCAGGAATGTATCTGAGAACAAGGGGCAGGCTCTAGCAGGAAAGAGGCCAGGACAGAGGTCTAGGCACCTTGGAGTCATCATCATCCTCCTCCTCCTCTTCCTCCTCCTTCCGCTTGGACTTGCTCTTCTTCTCTTTCTTAGGTCCGAGCTTCTTCTTCTTCTTCTTGCCAGGGGTATAGTCGCTGCCTTCGCTGTCCGACCGCAGAGCGACCTCTTCCTCCTCCTCCACAAACTCGGGCCCCTCCCCAGAGCTGTCCCCCAGCTGCCGGCACAAGAGTAAACGCTGGAGCAGGGAAGGGGAGAGGGGAGACGACATACATGCTACACACATGCTGACCTCAGGACAGTCCTGAGCCCATCCCAGGACCTGACCCACGGCTCCAGAAGGAAACATACCCTCAGGCCCACAACCGTCTTGGAGTACCTCCTTCTTTCTCTCACTCCCCAGAACATTCAGTCACCCACTCACCTCCTTTTTTTGGCGCTTGCTCTTAGGGATTTTAGGGTCTCGAGGTTTCTTAGGCTTTTTTTTCTTCTTGAGCTTTGGAGTCTCCGCTTCTGATAAATCCTCCTCTGGGTCGTCTTCATTGTCTACACACATTTGGCAAAGTGTGGCAGATGGGAAAAAGAGCAACAGCAAAAGGTGAGGACCTAGTCCATCCAGAGGTTGGACTGCCTCTCCTCACCTCTCGACCCAGACCCCCTGAAGAGGAAGAACTGTGACAGTAAGCACACAGAAGGGAGCGGATGCCCAGGCACGGACAGACAAAGGGAGCTGTAGATCCCGACACAGGCCTGCCAGGCCAGAGCAGGCCCACCTCGGGCAGCTGTCCAGGCCCCTAGCTCCTTTCCTCATCACTGTAGCCACCTTCTGTGTTCACCACACTGCTCAATCGAGCTGCCTGGAACTCAGCAAGAGAACTGGATCCAGACAGCCCACAGGACAGGGGTGGGGGAAGCACAGCCAGAAGGCACTAAACACAAACTCCATCCTCACCCCGCCACCCCAGATCAAATACCAGGTTCAGGGTCTAAGAAATCACACCCGTATCAAAGCCCTTTGGGATGATCACTGTTCAAAACCACCAGAGTTTCCAGTTCAACTTCATACCCATTCCCAGTCTCCTTCCTCCATCTCTAGCCCTACTGTTTCTTCCCAGCTTTCTCCTGGGTCAGGCGACTCCTCTCCCTAGGGGCCCGGAATCAGCCCAGCTGTCACCATCTCCCCTTCCCAACCCCCCTCCCATCTGGCTCCACCTCCTTCCCTGGCTAGAAGAACACACAAAGCCTGGGTAACACTGGGGCTCCTGGGCAAGGATAGGTAGAAAGGGGCACAGAGGGAGAGCTGCCAGGGAGCTTTCTTTGTACCAGACATGTACACCAGCTCCCAGTTCCCTCCTCCCTCTTCTCGCTCTCTTCCCAAGCCACCCCCGCCCAAGAAGGGGGGAGTAGGAAAGGGAGGAGAGAGAAGGGAGCGCCTCGCCCACTGAAGAGAAGGAAGATGGCTCCTGACCGCAGAAGCCAGCCCAGGGCACCCAGTGCCAACACAGGACAGACAGGAAGTGGCGGGCAGGGGGTGGAGCCGACAGAAGTACACAGAGCAGAGAGTACCCTCAAAGAAAACTTCCCAAATGATGACCTGGCCCCGGGTCCACAGCTAATGATCTCTACACATACTCAAGGATGACACAGTTTGTAAGAGGTCACCCTGATGTCCCAGGCAAGCAAACCAAGACAGCATGAAGAGTGACACGATTTCAAAGACTGCATTCCTCACTCAATCATAATGTTTTAAGATATTACATCTAAGATTGAACAAGGGCTCAGTGGAGGTTATCAAACCCTATGACCTTCCCTTGAAGGGCTCCGAAAGCTTCAGCTTAAGGAATGGAGCCCACAACCAGTCTCGAAGTTCAGCTCCCTCATCATCCAACAAGAATATTATCCAACATATAGAGATCATGCTGAGACTGCACAAAAGCAGTAGGACCAAGAGAACAGTGGCTAACGACATGTTCTCTTCAATTCCACACACATTCTTAGCTCATGAGCCCCAGAAGTAGCTCTAAAATGACTCTAGTTCTGCCCTTCTGAAGTTAGACAGATCCTAAGGCTGTACAAAGCACCACAGGCCTCCCATTTTCACACTTCCCAGGATCAAGTCAGAGGTTAGGAGGCCCCTCTCGTTCCCAAACAATCATTTTCTTAAGGGCTTCGCCCCCATAACCCCTACACCACCCCATAATCCGCTACATGTCCCCTTCTTCATCTTGCTTAGAGTGCAGAGATAAGGACAAGTCCACGGAGGCAGAGAAGACACCATTCCAGCCACATACAACCCTTAAACTCCTCGGGCAAATCCCACGCTGAAATGGCAAGCGACCACTGCACGAGATAGAGGGAGATTTGGGAAAGGGGCAGATTGGGTGTGTCAAGTGGAAAAACTGGGTCATGCTACACATTGGGGCAGAGTTCACACTGAGCCTGAATAGCTCACACTCAACTTGGGAGGGAAGCCCTAGACTAACGGGTGGGTTACTGGAAGGCTAAGATGGGGCCAACACTGGTGGGATAGTACTACTCATCCTGCCCCTCACGAAGAGTCTGAAGGAAAAGTAAGCCTTCCTCTTTCCCACCACCACCACCACCCCATCAAGGCACAGAAACCTGCAGCCTTACACCTAGATGACGACATGCAAATCTAAGTCCCTCATCCCTGCAGCCAAAGATATCAAGAATATCAGTTCTCTTAAATGGCCTCAGACTGAAGTAAAAAATTCTAAGTTAGAAAATGTCAAATTTGCTGGGCAGTGGTGGCACACCCCTTTAATCCCAATGAAGCAGAAGCAGGCTGATCTCTGTGAGTTGGAGGCCAGTGTGATCTACAGAATGAGTTCCAGGACAGCCAAGGATACACAGAGAAACCTTGTCTCAAAGGAAAAAAAAAAAAAAAAGCCAGGTGGTGGCACACACCTTTAATCCCAGCACACTCAGGAGGCAGAGCTAGGCGGATCTCTGTGAGTTCGAGGCCAGCCTGGTCTACAGAGTGAGATACAGGCACCAAAATTACACAGAGAAACCCTGTCTCAAAAAGGGGGGGGGGGGGCAAATTTGAAAAAGCATTTCTTCTGGATACCTCAAAATTGAGTTGGATCTAAGGAAAAGGCAGAAGTGAAAACTACATCATAAAAAACAAAAACAGGCCAGGCCATGGTGGTGGTGAATGCCTTCAAGCCCAGCACTAGGGAGGCAGAAGCAGAAGGATCTCTGTGAGTTCGAGGCCAGCCTGCTCTACAAAACAGACACCAGGACTGTTACACAGAGAAAACTTGTCTCAAAAAAAATACAAAACCAAAAACAACAACCACCAAAAAGCCCCGGGACCACCAGGCTCCAGAATGGGGTGGGGTGGGGAGCATAAAGAAATGGTGCTGGTGGGGAGGGGCTGGCTTTTTTTCATTTAAATTTTAATTTTTTTAAGTGAACGAGAGTCAAATAAACCAATAGGTGTATTAACAAGGAGACAAGAGAAGATATCCACTTATAAGCATGACATCAACCATCACTGAGGACAAGCACTCAGGCAGGCTGGTTATAACTCTACGGGTTTAGCCAGTCAAGGGAGCCACCCCAAAACACTGATAGTGCAAACCCTAACACACCCACACAAACACCTCACACCACCAACCCAGACCCCAAACTACCTCAGTGACCCAAGCCTCTAGGAAAGAAGCCAGGAATTATGTCCACCCCAGGGGAGAAGTCCCTTCCTTCCCCCTGCCTCTCCTTACTAGGCTACTGCCCCTCCCCTATCCCCCAATCCCTTCCCCACTCAAAAAATTCCAATAATCTGCCTAACTCAAAGTTCTCTAGATCCAGTAAGGAGCGAGATTCAAACTTCACACTCGAACAGCGCAGAAAACCGGTAACTGATCACAAGCTAAAAATAATCGGACAGAGAGCAACCAACACTCCGGCTTTCTTTTCCGCGAGATCCCAGATGCCTGGCTGAGCTCCTACAACAGAAATCTTAACTCCCCCCACCATGTCACCACCAGAGTCTCCGAGAGCGTCCCAGCCACCTGCACTCCTAAGAACCCGCTCAAGGTAATGCCTGCTAACCCAGAGAGCTCCCTCAACTGGGAACTGCGGAGTATTCCAGACAGCCTTGAGTACAGCCAGCTTACATCTGGGTCCGCGGTGCCCAAGAGGCACATGGCTTCCACCTCCCCCCCCCCCCCCCGCCCCCGCACCCCGCACACCCCCCCCCTCCACAACCCACTAGAGCTCCGCAGAAGAGAACCACTCCCTTCGGATGCCCCTCCGCCCTGGACTCCCTACACAGGAGGAGACAAGCAGCGCACCCAGCCTCACACAAGTCTCCAGGAAAGATCAAACACCTCCTTCCTGGCCTGGGCCCTCTGCGAAGATGTTACCTGGATGGGGTGGGGGCAGGCTGTTGTTCAGAAGTGCATCCATATCCTCCTCCTCACTGCCCGCTGAGCAGGGGGACGGGGAGCCCAGGCCCGACGCCATCCCCTTCCGCTCCCCGGCCAGGGAATTGGCCCAGCTGCTCCTGCCTGCGGCCTGGGGCCCTCGACACTGGCCCGAGTCACTGTGCGGGGGAGGGGGGGGAGAACAGTGAGTGACGCGCAGTCCCCCTCCCCCACCCGCTCTTTCCGCCCCCCCCCCCCCCCCCCCCCCGGCCCTGCCACCCTAACCGAGCACCCGAACCACTCAGGCTGAACTTAGTTCCACACTCCTCGGGGACAGCCCGGGAGCCGGCTCCCCAGCAGAAGCCCCCCCCAGAAGCGGGAGCGATGCCCCCCCCCCCCGCCCCGAGGTCAAGCTGGTGCATGGTGGGGAGGGGACAGGCTGGGCTAGACTGAGCCCCGAGTGACCGGGGAGGGGGACCCGAGTGGCGAGGCGCAGAGGGGGTCAGGGGAGGCGGCCGGTGCTCGGGGACACAAGGTCACTTGGGAGTGGGGGGGGCGCCTCTCGGAGCCCGGGGAGGGGCCAGTCCCCAGACAGGGCAGCTCTCCAGAGGCTGTCCTCCGGGACAACTCGGGTTCTCTTCCGGAACGGCGGGGACCGGGGGGCGTGGAGGGCCCGGCGCTCCGGGGTCCCCACGAGTCGGGACGCCGGCGGAAGGCGAGCTCTCCCCCCCCCCCCCCGAGAAGGGGGCCGGGCCACGTGTCCCGGGGGGCCGGCGAGCCAAGGGCGAGGGGCGGGCGCCCGGCATTGTGGGAGGCCGGGCCCGGGAGAGGGGCGCGGGGAGCACGGCTCCCTCAGGGCAGGGCGCCGCCTCAGGGCAGCCCGGACGCCTCAGGGGACGGGGAAAGGGTCCGCGCCCCGGCCGGGGGCCGGCCTGCGGGCCTGCGGGCCGCCTGAGGACGGGACAGGTGACGGGGTGAGCCCCGGGGTGGTGTCGGGCCGGGAGGGACGTCTCTCCCGGAGCCTCGCGCTCCCCTCACCCTAGAGCCGCCTCAGGTCGCGCTGGGTCTCGCCGGTGTCACTCCCGCTCCGGCTCCTCCTCGCCGCGGCCGAAGGGGGGAAAATGGCTCCGGCTCCGGCGGCGCCTCTTAAAGGGCCCGAAACACCGGCCGGGAAATCCCACCGCACAGGCCCCGCCCCCCCCACGGACAGCCCATAATAACCTCAACCAACTCCAACCCCCCCCCCCCCCCCCCCCGCTCCACTACCGCCACCCTCCTCCCTAGGTCTCCCGGGCAACCCCCGCCCCCTCGTCGCTCAGGCAACCATTGGCCACGCCCCCGTCGAGCGCGCGCGCGCGTCACCCGGGCAACCGCCCACCTCCTGGCCATCCCATAATACACACGGACACCCCACATACACACACCCCGCCCCCCAACACTCCATGCATATCTATGCCCGGGGGCTACTGACATATAGTGCAGACCTTTCACAAACTAAACCTGCTCCCCACCTCAGATATCCCATAATAACCACTCTTTGCCAACTTCTTCACTCTTGGCCCTACTGCTAACATCCCATAATAACTCGTTACCCCTCCCTCCCCTTGGCCATCCCATAATAAGCACCCCTCCCAGCACTTCAGCCTCATATCCCATAATACTCAACCCCATCCCCCACTAACATCCCATAATAACCACCCTTCATCCACCCCCAGTTTGATATCCCATGATTGTCAGAAACTCACCCACCCCACACTACAACAACGGACACTCGGCCTCCTCCCACGCACATCCCGTAATAATCAGTCTCCCACTTTCTATACTGATAGCCCATAATAGGCAACCCCCTAGAGCTGCCCTCAGCCCCTGCGCACCAGGGTCTAGACTCTAGATGCTCACATCACCACCCCCGGCCCTCCTAGTCTCCTTCTAGCTCCATGGCCCATAAATTACACTCCTCCCTATCCAAGAGATACTCACTAATGACCAGCAGCTCTGCTGTCACCCCACAAATGGGCATCTAAAGCGCCTCTCTCCTAACAGTGGGGAAACGTCCCATCATTTACTCCATCTACTCGGACATCCCCTAATTGCAAGAAGCCCATGATACCAGAATATTCCCAACGCAACCCAGTGCCACATCCCATAATACTTCTGCTGCACTCCACCACCTCACACAGGTCTTCTGGCCAGACATCCCATAATATTCACAACCTCCCCCATCTCTACAAGTTGTCCGTCTCTCCCAACACCCAAGAGCAGAGAGGGTGTGGCAAACTGCTGACTGCCCTGTCCCCGCCCCCATTAGCACATACCTTATTCCCTTTCTGGGCAAAAGGAGTATTCTGGCCAGAAGTCTCTCAGTGTTCAGGACCTTGGGCTAGTCCCTAGCTCACCATCTGCAGACACTCAGGAACAGAGGGCCAACCTAGAGCCCCATCCAATCCAATCAGAACCCAGGAGTATTCTAGATGCTTACCTCCAGCTCTGAAATTTTGTGTAAAATCAAACAAATAATATGCTGACTAGATGAAAAACTTGCATCAACTTTAACTGACCCAGAACATCCCATCCGATTAGAAACCCCCATCCAGTAACTATTTCTCAACATCCCGGCAGTCCTCTCCACTGCCTCTCTCAAGTCCAGGCAGTCCCTAAGGATGGATATCCCATCATCACCTCGTGAACTAAGGATCCTCTATAGCACCAAGCTCTGAGCCTTGCTCTCTCTCTCTCCTCACTATTACTCGTGTTCATTCAACATACTTTTGACAGTACTGAGCAAGGTACAAGCTGGTACAACTGGGAATGCAAAGACACAGGTGCCTTCCTGCCAGAAACGTAAACAGCTGGGAACGGTGTCACATGTCTGTAATCCCAGCACTCAGAAGGCAAGATGATCAAGAGTTCAAGGCCATACTCCGCTACACAGCAAATTCAAGACCAGCCTGGGCTTCGGTAGAAACAAGTCTCAAATAAATAAACATTATTATCAACACCCATGCTCTACCCAACTGGGCTAACAGGGCACCAGTAAATCAATACTTTTAAAAGAAGCATTAGGGTTGGGGATTTAGCTCAGCGGTAGAGCGCTTGCCCAGCAAGTGCAAGGCCCTGGGTTCGGTCCTCAGCTCCAAAAAGAAGAAGAAGAAGAAGAAGAAGCATTAAACAACCAAAGAGACCATGATACAATATTACAATATAAAAGTATCTGGTCACCACTATTTCCTAAATGTCCTGTCGTAGAGAACTGAATAAATCCAAACTTAGCTCTCAGAAGAGATCACATTCCCCCATAGAGGTCTGGGGAGGTGGTCCCTCTAGGGCAGTGGTCCTCAATCTTCCTAATGCTGCCACCCTTTAATACAGCTCCTCATGTTGTGGTGACCCCCAACCATAAAATTATTTTCGTTGCTACTTCATAACTAATTTTGCTACCGTTATGAATTGTAATGTAAATATCTGTGTTTTCTGATGGTCTTAGGCAACCCCAGTGAAAGGGTCATTCAGACCCCCAACGGGGTCACTACCCACAGGTTGAGAACCACTGATCTAGAGGATTTATAAGAGAAGGGTTATCAAGCTAACCTCCTGCAGGGTCTGATGATGCATACCTTCCAACCCTGCACTCTTGAGGCAGAGACAAGAAGATCCTGAGTTTGGGGGCATTCTGGGCTAAAGTGGAGACTGAAAACAGCAACAAAGATATCACCTAGAGCTGGAGTTGTCACTCACTAGTAAACTGCTTGCCTAGGGTGTGCAAGGCCCCCGGGTTGATCCACAGCACAGGAGAAAAAAGGAGGGGGAGAGGCCTCAGGAGAGAGAAGAAGAGAGAATGATAATCTATCTCCTGGCTGGTCCCTGCATGCTAAGGGATTGTGATTGGTAAGCAGCATCCATCCAGTCCATGTTCCCAACGCTGAAATTCCATAACATTATCACGTTTGTTTGGGGGTTTTTGTTTTTGTTTTGAGATAGGGTCTCTTTTAAAATTTTAGGTATTGTGTGTGTGTGTGTGTGTGTGTGTGTGTGTGTGTGTGTGTGTGTGTAGGAGGTGGGTGCTGGGAATTGAACTCTGGTCCTCTGCAAGAACAGCATGTGCTCTTAACCACTGAGCCATCTCTCAAGCCCATTAAACCATTTTGTTGATTTTGAGACAGGGTTTCTCTGTGTAGCCCCGACTGTCCTAGAACTCACTCTGTAGACCAGGCTGGCCTCGAACTCAGAGATCTGCCTGCCTCTGCCGAGTGCTGGGACTAAAGGTGTTTGACACTACACCCAATGGTTTTTTCGTTTTGTTTTATTTTGAGATAAGTTCTCTCTTTATAGTCTGGTCTCAAATCACCATCCTCCATCCTCCTGCTCTGTTTCCTAAATCCTCGGATTATACATGTGGACCACTACACACAGCTCTTTTTTTTTTTTTTAATATGTGTAGGAGTAATTTTGCCTGCACATATGCCCATGTACCATGTTAATATCTTATGTCCATGGAGGCCAGAGGAAGGCATCAGATCATTTGCAACTGGAGTTACAGGTGGTTGTACTACCATGTGGGTGCTGGGAATGGAACCCAGGCCCGCTGGAAGAGCAGCCAGTACTCTTAACCCCTGAACCATCTCTCCGGCCCATACCTTGATTCCTGAATACCAAATTCTGTTCATGTTCAATGTCCTACATTTTTTTTTTTAGTCACTCCCCAGTTACATATCCTGAGGCCTCATAATACCACCGATTGCTCCATCCTCATTTTGTTGGGACCCGGTCCTCCACTCCACACCCAGGCATGGTGTGGTGGAGGGTGTTCCTAACATCAGTGCTTGGGAAGCAAAAGCAAGTTAGTCTCTGAGTTCCAGGCCAAGCACTTTCCCCTCTTTCTGGGTTCCAGAAACTGTGGCTGTCAGTGGAAACCAGTATCCCAGCCCCACTGTCTCCAGGCCTCTCCCTTAAGCCAGAGCTGTCTTCCTCTGCTCTAATCTGCCTGTTTCAGGAAGAGCAAAGGCCTGTGGGAGCTGGACAGGTTGAAAAGGAAGCGGAACTCCCTCACCGGAAGAGGCCTTCCTGACCCCACCTGGAAGGTCCTCATGCTGTGTCTCCTTGCACTGCTCATATCACCTCCCTAGAGAAAGAGCCCAATAGATAACACCCTCCTGTGGAATTCAAAGGACTGAATTAGTGAGTGCTGGAGAAGCAGCAAGACTTTACTCAGAAAAGGACAGTCTCTTTGCTCCCATTTTACCAGTGATGCTGGAAGTGTTGTTCCATCAAATCCTGTGAGGATAACCATGAGCATTACACATTTAAATATCGTCTCGCCTTAAGACTAGGTAGGGTCTTAAGACCTTAGGTCTGACATGGTGGTAGAACTTTAACCCCAGCACTCAAGAGACAGGTAGATCTCTGAGACTGAGGCCAGCCTGGTCTACACAGTAAATCTAGGCCAGCCAGTGAGACATGGAGAGACCTTGTCTCAAAACAAGCAAACCCTCTTGAGTTCTTGCCAAAAGCTCTGAAGTTCATGTTTTCTTTTTCTTTCTTTTTTTTTTTTTTGGTTTTTCGAGACAGGGTTTCTCTGTGTAGCTTTGCACCTTTCCTGGAACTCACTCTGTAGCCCAGGTTGGCCTCGAACTCACGGAGATCCGCCTGGCTCTGCCGCCCGAGTGCTGGGGTTAAAGGCGAGTGATGCCGCCACCGCCCGGCAAAGTTCATGTTTTCTATTCCCAAAACTTCCCTGAACTCTCTGGACCACCCCTCTGGCTGTGTTTACTGTGGTGTACTGGCCATTCCCTCCACCCCACAGGCTTCCAGAGTCTCCCTCACTCAAGCGTCTATTTATTTATTTATTTATTTATTTATTTATTTATTTATTTATTTATTTATTTTGCATACAGTGTTCTACCTGCATGTATTCTGTCAGAAAAGGACACCAGATCTCACTACAGATGGTTGTGAGCCACCATGTGGTTGCTGGGAATGGAACTCAGGACCTCTGGAAGAGCAGCCAGTGCTCTTAACCTTTGAGCCAACTCTCTAGTCCCTGTTTTTTTTGGGTTGTTTTTTTTTGTGTGTGTGTGTGTATGTGTGTGTGTCTGTGTCTGTGTGTGTATTTGTTTGTTTGTTTTGTTTGAGACAGGATTTCTCTGTGTAGCCCTGGCTGTCCCAGAACTCACTCTG